TGATCCATGAGTCGCAAGCTACGTCTAGTAGGCAAGTGGGTATCCGTGACTATCCGGCAACAGTGCAAGCGCAAAAGCTATCGGGGTCGGGCAAGTTTAATTTAAGAGTTGCGAGGAATAACGAATAACGAGGCTGATACCAAGTGTTATGAGTTGTCAAACAGAGTTGCGCGGAATAACGAATAACGAGGCTGTGACTCAATGGATTCACGATACAATGAAAGACATGCGATTATATAGCGAGGCAACCTAACTAGGCGGGAACCTCGGGAACACGAGGTTGAGTGCAGGTTGGGCAAAGGAAAGCCGAAGGCGACGCGAGGTTGCTTCGGCAGCAAGCAAAGCGGCCGAACGTGCACTTCCGAAAGTTGGGGTTGTACGCGGTTGAGTAAACCCCAGTAAGGAAAAGGGTTTTTCCTTACAAGCTATGTATAATCAACATCCTTAGCATATTTTGAGAAACATCACAATTCATATTGTCTGGAGCTTTATAGTAGTGGCTTAAAAAACGAGCCTGACGTCATCCCCTGTGCCTGCTCGTTTTCTTCTTGAACTCTTCATTGTGCCACCACTACTGCTCTCCTCACCTGCGCAGCCCAACAGCACTTCCGCCATATCACCCTCTTCCGCTCCGCCCCCTGGCAGCGGACCCATCACCCCAGACTCAACGACGCAATCTGAGCCGTCCATTTCACTGCTCGTATCTACCTCTTGAATAAGAGACGAGAGCGAGCTCAAAAGCAGAGACCGTGACTCCGTTTCCACCGCTGCTGCTGCTGCTGCTGCTGCGGTTGAAAAAACTACTGCTCTTTCTGAATCAGCTGCTGCTGCTCCTGCTGCTGTTCCTGCACCTGCCACTCCTGCTGCAGCATCTTCTCCAGAATAATCTTCTGCTACAGCTGCTGCTGCAGATGAATCACATGTGACAGCAAATAGCGCAGCCACCTCTGCATCTGTTGCATCCCGGTGCTCTCCAATACTGTCCCCACCGCTTCCATTCCCCATATCTTGTATAATTTCAGGAGGCACATATCTTCTGCTATTGCTTCCAGCAGCACTACTCACAGCACTTGAATCTGTAATGTTGTTGCTGCTGCTGCTGCCACTCATGCCGCTGCTGGGGTTACGGCGAACTGGAACAGAGGAGAGGGCAGCAGAGGAGGAAGAGGACGTATAAACCAAGGGACCTTCAACCGAACCGAAATCCCTGCCTGACAGGTGCTGCTTGTTCTGCTCGTTCTCCTGACTCCCATTCACCTTCCCATTCTGCTGCTGCGCCTGCTTCTGCTGCTTCTTTTCCGGCGGAAGCAGCTTCTGCTGCTGCTGCTTGTGCAGTCTGGAAGGGGGAGGAGCCTCCAGCACCCCGACCACAGCAATGGCTCTGCTGCTGCGCCTGCGCTCGCGCGAGTGGTACACGAAGCAGAGAGAGACGACCCACACGAAGACCAAAGCGCCGAGGAGGGCAAAGAAGGCGTGGAAATATTTGTCCCGCTCGTCCACTATCAAGTCGAGCGTGGAGTTGGAGGGAATGACGAGCGGTGAGGTGAAGTTGGTCCTTAGCTGCTCCGATGGACCTGAGTGGGTGGGGGGCAGGGGAGGAGAAGGGGGAAAAGCAGGGCAGAGAATTAAAGAAGGCAAGAGCAGAGGGGGATTTGCTAGCCGACTAGCAGGAGGTCTGAAGGTCTGCCCTGAAGTTCAAGCGTGGAGTTGGAGGGGATGATGAGCGGCGATGTGACGTTGGTCCTTAGCTGCTCCGATGGACCTGCAGGGGAGGGGCGGGGTGGAGATGGGATTGGCGGGGTAGAAGAGGAGCGTGTGGCCTCCCCTGCAGAGAAGAGGAGCGTGTGACCTCCCCTGCAGAGAAGAGCGTGTGACCATTACCAACATGTTGCAACTCCTCCCAGTGTGCATGGAGGGGCACTTGCAGATGGTGAAGAGCATATAGTGCCATTTCCTGTCTTGTTGATAGCACATGTTCTACATGTTTTACGCGCCTGTGTGCGTTTGTTCCATTGGCTTCTTCTGTAAACGCATACTACCTGTAAGTAGTTCCACTGCAATGCACACTACATTCACCAAAGTCCTGTGCCTCCAACAGGGTCTGACAGCTTGCTCCAGTGTGGGTAGAAGGGCACTTGCAGATGGTGACGTTGGCCTCCTCTGAGAACACGCACATGCCTATGTTGGCTCTTTGCAAATGCACCTGTTATAATAATCTTCGCTATTAGAGGCATAAGACTCACCGAAATCCTGCGCTTCTACCAGCGTCTGACAACTTGCTCCAGTGTGTGTGGAAGGGCACTTGCAGATGGTGGCGTTCGCTTCCTCTGAAAACACGCACATGCCTCCGTTGGCGCACCATAGACCCGTGCTGCAGGCCACAACAGGCGTCTGACACTTGGAGCCCTGCGGTTGGCGCAGAGGCAGAGTTGGGGGGAATAAAGAAACAATTGTTTAAATGCTCGGGACCCGAAAACACACACATGCCTCCGTTGGCGCACCGGAGACCAGTGCTGCAGGGCACAACGGGAAAATAGGGGACTAGGGAGGGGGGTTGAGCACGGGGAGATGAATTCTGTGCGCCCATCGCTACGCGCACCGCTTTTCTAGTCGACTCCTGTACGATGTACGCGAGATGGCCGCACCTGGAACTGATGTGGGCACGAGCAGAGGAAAATAGAAACCCATCTAAACGTCCTTCACGACTCACCTGGAACCTGTGAGGGCACGAGCAGAGGAACCCCTGAGCGCCCATCGCTACCCGCACCTCCAACTGTTCTAGTCGATTCATGTACGATATACGCGAGATGGCCGCACCTGGAACTGATGTGGGCACGAGCAGAGGAAACCCTGAGCGCCCATCGCGACGCATTTCCCGCCATTCTCGCACCACCACGTGCCGTTGCATCGTACGGCCTCCGTTTGACACGATTTCCCGCGGAAGTACAGCCCCGTCTCGTGATCGTACGGCTGACAGACGCACTCGGGCTCTTTCGTTTTAGGGTTGAGCTTGCACGTGCCGTTGTGCAGGCATCCCGGCTCGCACACGAGGTGCAGGCTTCGCGGAACGGACCGGGCTATAACGGGAGATGAGTGTGACAGTAACGAGAGGACGACAACGAAGATGGAGGTTACGAGGAGGACGGGTGGAGAGTGAAAACTTCTCATACGTGGAAGCCGTAAGTTGGAGCATAGCCGACCGTTTCTGAAGGATCGAAGCATGGCTGCGAGTCGTAAGTTGGATTTAAAAATGCATCTGTACTAATAGCCTGCACTGCCGCCAAGCCTTACGACGCGGATGCTTTCTAATCGGCCTGGGACGAAAGGATATGGTAGAGAAATGCCAGTACTTCAGAGTGTACCTGTGGAATGCTTAAAATGACTTCGTACTGGATTCGAATAATCTTGAATAATCTCTAGGCCGCGGAGCTGCAGAACGAGCCTAAGAAACTATCGTCCACTCGTGCAAGGGGATTGGTGCGCAAGTACTCATGTTGAGCACGAGCGCAAGCTACCAGTGAAAAAAAAAAAACACACAAACAAAAAAGCCGAAGGCCAAATGCGTTCGAGGGACCAGTTTATGGCAGCACGCAGTTTATGCCGAGAGGAAATGAAGAGTAGAACGCACTGTTGCGAAACTGGCAGCAGCAGCTTCGATACAAATATGGCTCGCTCACAGCTTTTTTTTCAATAATTGCTGAAGGACTGAGATTGGCTGCTGAACCCCATGCAATGCACATAGTCGATAACAAACGAATGACGCGAGCAGTCGATTTGCTAGACGGAACGGGACTGACTCCGTCTAAAGAAAAGGCATTGAAAATATCCAGCGTGTTCGTCTTCTAGTCATGTATCACGGTTTTGTAAGGTTTATATGCAGCCCATAGTGGTACTGCGCCTTGGTAGCCGGTTGAAACGCATGGAACAGGCGACAAAACCTCCCTGGAAAATGTGCTTATGTAGAGGGATGCTCTTGTCGAAGGCTGAATCTGACGGGACGAAACGTAAGCAGGCTTGTCGCGTGCAAGGCTGGGTTTTGCGATCACGCTGGGGGCGCTTGCACCGTGTGGGAAACCCTTTTACCGTTTATTAACTTCACAAAATGCTCAGTCCTCACCAGTGCCAAGACGACAGTTACAAGTGGCACAGAGGCTTCGGTTAGCTGACTGACCGAAATACTCCTACCATACAAGCGAAACTGCCCAGCCAATCAGTCCGTGGCGAAGCTGGTTCCGACCTTCTACGAGCCGAAAACGCGGTGCGCGTTTAACGAGCGACTAGCTAAACCGTCGATGGGAGAAGCCGAACGGTTGGATAGGCCACCGCACTCAGCGCGGCGGACCTACGGTGTCCCTGCAGTTACCGCAAACAGGCTTGCTGTTGTAAAAGTGGTACGTTACGCGCTTCTGGTGCATCCAGCGCAAAGAAAATAGAATACCTGGGTTTTGGGCTGAATCAGTCCAACCCAAAACCTAAAAATATGGTTTGGCTAGATTTCCTCAACCCCGTTTTTACTTCACGTCACCTTTAAAGCCCGAGTCTAGAATGGCAAGGGATCAAGTTCAAGATTCTTGAAGCTGAAATCGCCAGAAACAGGGTAACCCGGTTGGGGCTTTCCCACCCTCGCAACCACCGGAAACAGTTTCTGGGAGGGGGATTCTGATTGGCTGAGATGAACACAGGCAAAATTATCAACCCTCTCGCCACAAAAGCCAACCACGCAGACTACTGTTCATACTTTAGCAAACTTGAAAGTGAAACTGACCATACTAGACTCGATATCTAGGAGGCTCCATAGCTTAGAAAGCGAACGTGTCTGCTAGCGCACTCATTCCCGCTCGTTCATCCCGTCTCGACCGTTCGTATTGTCCCTCCTATTTATCTCGCCCTCCCCGTCACTCCCATTCCCTCACAAGGTCACAAACTCGCGTCACTCTTTTTTCAGGACTGCCGCCGTAACACACGACTCTCCTTGACTAAGAGCTCTTGTGACGGTCGGAATGGTGGTCGTCAACCACCATTCCGACCGTAGGCAGTTCAGGGCACTCCAGTTCCATCTTTCGCGGCCAATGTCACTTCCGTTCCCAATGTCGTGACGGTCACGACCATCAATAGCGTCACGGCGGCAAATGCCATTTCCATCGTCGCGGCGGTACCGTCGCCTCCCATCACCGTCTTTTCGTCGCCCTCCCTTCCCCTGCCCGTCGCGCTCCCTTCCCTGCCCGTCGCGCTCCCTTCCCTACCCGTGGCGCTCCCTTCCGTCATTCCCGACACATATTGCCTTCTCGTCATTCTCCCTTTTCGTGGCTATTTTTGTTTTTTTCCTGCACGTCGCCCTCGCTTCCCCTCCCCGTCGCGCTCCCTTTCCCTCCCCGTCGCGCTCCCTTCCCCTCACCGTCGTGCTGCCTTCCCCTCCCCTGTCGTGCTCCCTTCCCCTCCCCGTCGTGCTCCCTTCCCCTCCCCGTCGTGCTCCTTCCCCTCCCCGTCTCGTTCCCTTCCCCTCCCCGTCGCGCTCCCTTCCCCTCCCCGTCTCGTTCCCTTCCCTCCCCGTCTCGTTCCCTTCCCCTCCCCGTCTCGTTCCCTTCCCCTCCCCGTCTCGTGCCCTTGCCCTTCCCTACTTTCCTCTCTTGTTCTTCCCTCCTTTCTCTCCTCGCCTTACCCTCCGCATACCATTGCATTCCACCGTGCACTGCATCCCGTTTCGTCATTTTCGCCAAGTCCGCTTCCCACCACTCTCGTTTCCCCCCTTGTACTTTCCCCCGTTCCCCCACTGCCCCCCCTTTCTTTCCCCGTGTCTCCCTTTTCGCCCATGTTTCTCCCGCCTTTCCACCCTGTCCTGAAGTCCCTTGTCCCTCCCTCCCTTCCCCCGCTGACCTTCCCACCGTTTTCCCCCTCCCCCCTCCCTCCCTTTCCCCCGTGTCCTCCCTCCCCTTGCCCCTCAATCCCTGACTCCTTGTCCTTCCCTCCCTTCCTCTTAGCCCGCCCAGCCTCAATCCCAAGACCCTTGTCCCTCCCCCCTTCCCCCCCCATGTCCTTCCCTCCGGTTCCTCCGGATCCGTTTCCCTTCTTGTCCATTTCGTTTTTCCTTTCCCCACCTCCCGTCCCTCCGATTTCCGCTCTTGTCCCTCCCCTTCCCCCTTGTCCTTCCTTCCGTTTCCCCCCTTGTTTTCCCTCCCTTTTCCCTAGTCCTTTCCTCCGTTTCCCCCTTCTCCCTCTCACTCGCCCTCCCTCTCCCTCCACGCTTCTCGCCCTTATCCCCACACATGTCCTCCTCCTTTCCTTCCCATCTCTCACCGAACCCTCTCTTTCCTCCCCTCCCCCCTTGCTCCATTTCTTCTAATTTCCGCCCTTCCCCCTCTTCGCCTCTCCTTCCCTCCCTCGCTGTCCCTCTCTCTTCGCCTCTCCTTCCCTCCCTCGCTGTCCCTCACTCTTCGCCTCTGCTTCCCTCCCTCGCTGTCCCTCTCTCTTCGCCTCTCCTTCCCTCCCTCGCTGTCCCTCTCTCTTCGCCTCTCCTTCCCTCCCTCGCTGTCCCTCTCTCTTCGCCTCTCCTTCCCTCCCTCGCTGTCCCTCTCTCTTCGCCTCTTCTTCCCTCCCTCGCTGTCCCTCTCTCTTCGCCTCTCCTTCCCTCCCTCGCTGTCCCTCTCTCTTCGCCTCTCCTTCCCTCCCTTGCTGTCCCTCTCTCTTCGCCTCTCCTTCCCTCCCTTGCTGTCCCTCTCTCTTCGCCTCTCCTTCCCTCCCTCGCTGTCCCTCTCTCTTCGCCTCTCCTTCCCTCCCTTGCTGTCCCTCTCTCTTCGCCTCTCCTTCCCTCCCTTGCTGTCCCTCTCTCTTTGCCTCTCCTCCTTTCTCTTTCAGCCCCTCTCCTCCTTTTTCTCTCAGCCCCTCTCCTCCTTTCTCTTTCAGCCCCTCTCCTCCTTTCTCTCTCAGCCCCTCTCCTCCTTTCTCTCTCAGCCCCTCTCCTCCTCTCTCTCAGCCCCTCTCCTCCTTTCTCTCTCAGCCCCTCTCCTCCTTTCTCTCTCAGCCCCTCTCCTCCTTTCTCTCTCAGCCCCTCTCCTCCTTTCTCTCTCAGCCCCTTTCCTCCTTTCTCCCCACCGTGGGTAACCCCGCCGTGCCCGCGCTCTGCTCACTCACACACGATGCTCACTCACACACGATGCTCACTCACACACCATGCTCACTCACACACCATGCTCACTCACACACCCTGCTCACTCACACACCCTGCTCACTCACACACCCTGCTCACTCACACACCCTGCTCACTCACACACCCTGCTCACTCACACCCTGCTCCCTTACACACCATGCTCACTCCTCTGTTCACTCTGTCATCTGCATACTCTGTCCTGTTCCTATTCTGATGTAATTTTAGGTAAATCGAGAGGTCTTGCGTTATCCAGATTCATACATAATGTTGGCTCTCGCCTCCCTTGCACTGCCACTCTCTTGTATGTTTACCTGCTATTTAGCCATGTCACATCTTATTTCCTGGTTTGTGTTTGTACAGGCCCTCTATGCATCTGGTTGTGGTGATGTGTTGGTGTTCGATAGTACCACGAACTAGCCATGCCATGTATTGATGTTGGATGCTTTGTTATAATACAAACCCTGAGCTTAGGAGCTGCCGTGCACCTGACCACTACAAAAAAGTGCAACACAGAAACAATTTTCTTTTGTAAGTGAACAACTGATGATCAACCCAACGATGACAGCTAGGAAATGTTTCTTTTTTTATCCACTCTTGTGTGCTACACTGCTTGCAATAAACGCTGGGCCATGGTGCTGGGACTTGTATTCTGCGGGGTTGGAAATGGGGGTGAGTGAAAGGGAAACAGAGAACGAAAGCGAATAGGGGGAAGAGAATGAGCAGGTGAAACGGAGTGAGCAAAGGGGAAGAGAATGAGCAGGTGAAACGGAGTGAGCAAAGGGGAAGAGAATGAGCAGGTGAAACGGAGTAGGGCGGGGGGAGGAGAATGAGCAGGGGAAGCAGAGTGGGGCGGGGGGAGGAGAATGAGCAGGGGAAGCAGAGTGGGGCGGGGGGAGGAGAATGAGCAGGGGAAGCAGAGTGGGGCGGGGGGAGGAGAATGAGCAGGGGAAGCAGAGTGGGGCGGGGGGAGGAGAATGAGCAGGGGAAGCAGAGTGGGGCGGGGGGAGGAGAATGAGCAGGGGAAGCAGAGTGGGGCGGGGGGAGGAGAATGAGCAGGGGAAGCAGAGTGGGGCGGGGGGAGGAGAATGAGCAGGGGAAGCAGAGTGGGGCGGGAGGGGGAAGCGAGGGCGACGGGAGGGGGAAACGAGGGCGACGGGAGGGGGAAACGAGGTCGACAACTCTCTACTTTCTCATCCCGTGCCGCTCATCATCTCCGTGCTTCACACTCGCATCCGCGCCACATTCCCTCCCTCGGTCCTCGGATTCTTCACGATTCTGGTGGCACCGTATATGTTCTCACATGTTATACCTAGCTATCTTAGTCTGGATGCTTAGTTTCGTAAACTGATGTTCTTTCTATAAACTGGTACTACTTACGCACGCTTTTAGAGTGGTGTGCTGTGTGAGAGTGGTTGAGTTTTGTTTTGTCGTTGGTGCTTGTTCAATACAGTGTATTGCGATAAACTGGAGCATTAGTCCTTCGCCACCTGCCGCTTGCAAATTTTCCTCTCGTCAACCTTCGCACAACCCTTTTCAAGTTCAGTAATTCTGAACCTTTGCCATTCTAGGCGCCGGCTTTAAAGTCCAAAGAAAAGAAACATCCATCCCTATCCAATCACTGGAAATTTGCAACCCCCCTAATGATGTTAAGAATGAAATAGTTATGGTACTGGTCTATTCTATCAACTAGGTTCATCGAGTACACCAACCAACCAAACCAAACTGAGAATGGGAGGGAAAACACCAACCGATCCACAACCCTTCTAAGATTGCCCCACCTGCACTGAATGCCATTGTTTCTGCTGCTGTTACTGCTGCTGCTTCCCCGATCCACACACACAGGCCCTCCCACGCTGTTATCCTGCTGTTGCTTTTGCAGATTCGCATCCACTACGCTCACATTCATGTCCACCCACGCTGCTGCAGTGCCGCATGCTGCTGCAGTGCTGCTGTTGCCTTGTTCAATTCCCTTTATTCTGGCAACCTCTGCTGTTGCCCCTGCAGCTGCTACCCCTTCACACACTCGCCTTGCTGAAACTGCTGCTGCTGCCGTTGCTCCTCCTCCTCCACACACCCACCTAGCATCCCTACAGATCAGCCCTGGCTGCACTGCTGCTGATGCCTTGTTCTCCTCACCCCTTATTCTGGCAACCGCTGCTGCCGCCCTCACAAATGCTAACCCTCACACAATCAACTCGCTGCAGTGCAGTGCTGCCATTGCCTTGTTCTTGTCACTCCTTTGGCAACAACTGCTGCTCCCTTTGCACCTGCTACCTCTCACACAATCGCCTCCCTGAAACTGCTGCTGCTGCTGCCGCCGCTGCTGCTGCTGCTTGCCGTTATTCCACAACCTTATTCACCTCTCCCTTATTCGTGCACTGCAATTATTCTTATCATTATTCCCATTGCACCGCCACCCACCATTTCAAACCGCACAGCACCTAGCAGCTCCTCCTTCAGCAGCTTATTTCTGAGGCGCCTCCAATACATAACCCCATCCACCCACCCGTTGCACCGCCACGCACCACACTGAACCGCACAGCAGCTAGCAGCATCTTCAATCCCCTCCTCAATTATACTGACGGCTCGAAACACCAAGCAGCGCCACGTTTCATTCACAGGGAAGAGCAGCGAGGTCGTAGTGGGAAACACTAGAATCGCCCGTGGGACTACTCTACACCTTCGTCTCTTGTGAAACCTCCAGATATATTGCGCGGCGCCCTACTTATTGATCATCGCGCACCGTCTTCAAAAGCAGGCAGCTTCATCAGTCGACTTTGTTTGGATTCGAGCTTCTTTCAAAACGTCTCCCCTGAGTCCCTCTAAAATGTCCATAGGTCAAGGGGGCTGCACTGTCCTCTGAGTCCCCCAAAATGCCAAGGGGGTTGCACTGTCCACCGCAATAAATATCTGGGTGCTCCTCTTTCTGCTTCTTTTGAACCCGTTTCTGTTTCTTTCCTTGTCCATTCTTCCCCCCTCCCCCTCCCCACTCCCCCTCCCCCCTGACCCTCCCCTCCCCCTTGTCACGTCTAAACACATACCCCTGTCAAACTGGTCCGTCCTCCCCCTTCTTCCGTCCTTCTTCCCCTCTCTCCCCCCATCCCCTGCATCATCTCTTACCCTCTTCCCCCCAACCCACCTGATTTGACTTCACCACCCACCCAATGATACCGAGTGATTGAAGCATCGGTAATCTTTTTGCTACATCCTTCCATTTCGCCCCTCGTTCAGTTACTACCTCCCCCAGTGCAGCCCCTCCCCTAGGTGTTACCTCCTCCCATGCCGCCCCTCCCCTGTTACCAGCTCCCCCCATGCCGCCCCTCCCCCAGTTACTACCTCCCCCCATGCTGCCTGGGGGCTCGTGGGCGTACAGGGGTCTTGGAAGGGCTCACCCTGAGGGGGGGAAGGAGAAGGGGGAAAGGTGGGGGGGAAGCGGGGGAGAGAAGGGGGGTAACGAGGGTAAGGGGAGTCAGGGACAGCCCATGCTGCCCAGGCGCTCGTGGGCGCACAGGGGTCTTAGAGGGGCTTACCCTGATGGGGGGAAGGAAGAGGGGGAAAGGTGGAGGAGATACGAAACATAAGGGGACCACAGTGGAAAGGAACCACAGTTTTGAGGCGCCTGGGTGAAGTGACTTTTGAGTCGACTCAAAAGGACCACAGTGGAAAGGAACGACAGTTTTGAGGCGCCTGGGTTAAACCAGGGGACTGAAAATGCTGCCCAGGCGCTCGTGGGCGCACAGGAGTCCTAGAGGGGCTCACACGGATGAACAGTGGAGGATGGAGTTGGGGTGAGAGGGGGAGGGCGAAGGAAAGGGCAGAACGGGGGGGTGGAGAGGACACCAGAGCTGGTGCTGTTGCGTGGGTGCTCGTGAGCGCACAGGAGTCTTAAAAGAACTCATTCTGATGGATAGTGGGGGTTATGATTGGGCGGGAACGACAGTAGGACACAAAGAAGACATGGGACTGAAACAGCAGAGATGCTTTCAGCCTGGGAGAGGGGTGCAGAGTGATGCAGAGGGAGGTGCAGAGTGGTGCGGGACTAACCTGATGGGGAGCGAGCCCAGAATGGCCCCACTGCAATTTAGAGCAGCCATTTGGAAATCACTTCTGAGAATACTCAAAAGTGATTCCCAAATAGCACTCTCAGCCTGGGGAAGGAAAAGATGCGTGGAGAGGGTGCAGGGTGCAGAGAGGTGCAGAGCGGTGCGGGGAGGTGCTTCACTGACCTGATAGGAAGTGAGCCTAGAATGGCTCCGCTGCAGTTTAGAGCAGCCATGGCACTCTCAGCCTGGGAAAGGGGAAGGTGCAAAGAGATGCAGAGGGGTGCAGAGAGTTGAACACAGGCGAACAGAGGTGAAGAGAGGTTGAAATAGAAAGTGGAGGCTAGCTGGGGAGGGGAAGCTTTGCGCAGGTAGCTTTTCCAGGTGTGAAGGTGTATTAATTAGCTAATGGAGTCTCCTATTGGATGCGGCAATAGAAAGCGCCACCACCCACCATCACCCACCATCACCCATCATCATCCATCATCACCCATCATCACCCCTCGTCACCCCACATCACCTCATCACCCCCCCTTGTCATCCCCATCACTCACCATCACGAATTCAACGAAGGCAATGCGCGTGGAGTGATGGTAATCGCCCAGTAGACGAAGGCGAGAGATCTGAGAGGCAAGAAGAGCGGGGCGGATGGGGAAGAAGATGGGGACAGGAAAGGACGGTGGAATGATTTTGAGGTGTCCCAAAGGGAATGTTTGCCGGTGGAGTAATGGTAGTCCCCCAGTAGACGAAGGCGCGAGATCTGAGAAGCAGGAAAGTGAGGAGTTGGGGTGTGGGGTGGGGAGGTTGGGGGAGGAGAGAGGAGGGGAGGAGTAAGGAATGTATGCGTGTGGAGTGATGGTAGTCCCCCAGTAGACGAAGGCGCGAGGTTTAAGAGGCGGCAAAAAGGGGGGGTAAGCCGGAGAAGGGGGAAGGGGGAGGTGGGAGAAGAAGCGAAGAGGGCAAGAAGAGAGATAAGGAAATCATGTGTCTAAGTCTGGGAGAAGCGCGGGGACGGGTTTTATGTGAGTGCAGTGGTGGTAATTCAACAACAGCTCCTTTAGTAGGGGGCATGGCATGGGGTAACCCTGCAGTGGAAGAACGAGGGACTAGAGCACTGGAACAGCAGATGGGAGGTGAAGCGGCAAAGCGAAGCGAGACCACATCGACCTTTACTCTGCCATATTGAAACACATTCAACCGCACTGAACCTGAGCTCACCTCTCCGCAGAGCGACTCAAAGAAGAGCTTCACGTCTGCTTGGGTGACCTGCGGTGAGGGAGTGAGGGAGGGAGTGAGGGAGGGAGTGAGGGGTGAGTGAAAGGGGGAGTGAGGGGGGAGTGAGGGAGTGAGTGTGAGTGAGTGAATGAGTGAATGGATGAGGGAGGGAGTGAGAGGGGGAGTAGAAGAGAGTGACTCCCTCTCCTGCTGACTCTGCTATTTCCCCTTCTTGCCACCACTCTCCCCCCCTCTCCCCTCTTGCCCTTTATCCCTCGCCTCTCCTTGCCTTTTCTCTCTCTCCTCTCGCCTCACCTTCTTATCAATGTTGGTACAATAAACGGTGCGAGCACACATCTCCCTCTCCTCTTGGCTCTGATATGAAAAACATGGGGGATGGATGGGAACGAAGTGTATGGTGCAACAAAGGAGAGGGGGGCGGGTGGGGTGGAAGGGGGTGCGATGGGGTGGGAGGGGGGTGGGGTGGGGTGGGTGTAGGGGTAAAAAGGTTATCGATGGTCAATGGCATGTAATGTAACAGCAGAATCAACACCAGAAAAAACTCCAACATGCCGGTTTCAACATGGCATCATTTGCATTGCAATTGTGAAAATGCACCGATTATGTGGCTCGTAAAAATTGCGCCCGTCGCACACATACAGATGTGCGCGTGAACACTTAGCACCACCTCAGCACCACCTCAGCACCACCTCAGCACCACCTCAGCACCACCTCAGCACCACCTCAGCACCACCTCAGCACCACCTCAGCACCACCTCAGCACCACCTCAGCACCACCTCAGCACCACCTCAGCACCACCTCAGCACCACCTCAGCACCACCTCAGCACCACCTCAGCACCACCTCAGCACCACCTCAGCACCACCTCAGCACCACCTCAGCACCACCTCAGCACCACCTCAGCACCACCTCAGCACCACCTCAGCACCACCTCAGCACCACCTCAGCACCACCTCAGCACCACCTCAGCACCACCTCAGCACCACCCCAGCACCACCCCAGCACCACCCCAGCACCACCTCAGCACCACCCCAGCACCACCTCAGCACCACCCCAGCACCACCCCAGCACCACCCCAGCACCACCCCAGCACCACCCCAGCACCACCTCAGCACCACCTCAGCACCACCTCAGCACCACCTCAGCACCACCTCAGCACCACCTCAGCACCACCTCAGCACCACCTCAGCACCACCTCAGCACCACCTCAGCACCACCTCAGCACCACCTCAGCACCACCTCAGCACCACCTCAGCACCACCTCAGCACCACCTCAGCACCACCTCAGCACCACCTCAGCACCACCTCAGCACCACCTCAGCACCACCTCAGCACCACCTCAGCACCACCTCAGCACCACCTCAGCACCACCTCAGCACCACCTCAGCACCACCTCAGCACCACCTCAGCACCACCTCAGCACCACCTCAGCACCACCTCAGCACCACCTCAGCACCACCTCAGCACCACCTCAGCACCACCTCAGCACCACCTCAGCACCACCTCAGCACCACCTCAGCACCACCTCAGCACCACCTCAGCACCACCTCAGCACCACCTCAGCACCACCTCAGCACCACCTCAGCACCACCTCAGCACCACCTCAGCACCACCTCAGCACCACCTCAGCACCACCTCAGCACCACCTCAGCACCACCTCAGCACCACCTCAGCACCACCTCAGCACCACCTCAGCACCACCTCAGCACCACCTCAGCACCACCTCAGCACCACCTCAGCACCACCTCAGCACCACCTCAGCACCACCTCAGCACCACCTCAGCACCACCTCAGCACCACCTCAGCACCACCTCAGCACCACCTCAGCACCACCTCAGCACCACCTCAGCACCACCTCAGCACCACCTCAGCACCACCTCAGCACCACCTCAGCACCACCTCAGCACCACCTCAGCACCACCTCAGCACCACCTCAGCACCACCTCAGCACCACCTCAGCACCACCTCAGCACCACCTCAGCACCACCTCAGCACCACCTCAGCACCACCTCAGCACCACCTCAGCACCACCTCAGCACCACCTCAGCACCACCTCAGCACCACCTCAGCACCACCTCAGCACCACCTCAGCACCACCTCAGCACCACCTCAGCACCACCTCAGCACCACCTCAGCACCACCTCAGCACCACCTCAGCACCACCTCAGCACCACCTCAGCACCACCTCAGCACCACCTCAGCACCACCTCAGCACCACCTCAGCACCACCTCAGCACCACCTCAGCACCACCTCAGCACCACCTCAGCACCACCTCAGCACCACCTCAGCACCACCTCAGCACCACCTCAGCACCACCTCAGCACCACCTCAGCACCACCTCAGCACCACCTCAGCACCACCTCAGCACCACCTCAGCACCACCTCAGCACCACCTCAGCACCACCTCAGCACCACCTCAGCACCACCTCAGCACCACCTCAGCACCACCTCAGCACCACCTCAGCACCACCTCAGCACCACCTCAGCACCACCTCAGCACCACCCCAGCACCACCCCAGCACCACCCCAGCACCACCCCAGCAGACCCAGCAGAACCCAGCAGCACCCAGCAGCACCCCAAGACGATGGCAGGTACTATGCATCGGAAAGGTAATGGCACCTTGGGGAGGTAAGTGGGGTTGACGGGCAGGATGGCGGTCTTTGAAGGGAGCACCCTGAGAGGATAGTACCCCAGCATCGTGCCCGCAATGCTCAATGCGTTTTTAGCCCCCTCTGAACATGAGAGGGAGGAGGCAAGAAGGGAAAAGCAGAAGAGAGGGACGAGGAAAGTGATGTGTAGAAAGAAGGGAGCACCCGGAGAGGGCAGTACCCCAGCATCGTGCTCCATTGAGGGCAGCATCAGGCCTGCATTTCTCAATGCGTTCTTGGACCCCTCTAAAAAGGACGCGGGGGAAGAGGCGAGGCGAGGCAGGTGTCGTGTAGGAGCGGAGAGGGACGGGGAGATAGATGAGGAAAAAGAGAGAAGCGCTTAGAGAGGGTATTACTCCAGCATCGTGCCTGCACTGCAATGCTCAGCGCGTTCTTGGGCCCCCTCTGAACATGACGAAGCACATAGGCAGGAATGGTGTGGAGGACACGAGAGAGAAGAGGAACAACGGATGGGATGGGGGCTCATTGTGTTGGTGGCCCCCCCTGACTTTAGAGTCGACTCAAAAGTCACCTCTTTTGAGTCGACTCAAAAGACCAGAGAGGAGAGGAACAAGGGATGGGATGGGGCCTCAATGGAGAGAAGGGGCTCAATGTGTTGTTGGGCCCCCCTGAAAGAAGGGAAGGAGCGGCAAAAGTCGTTGGAGTCTGGGAGGAAAGAGATGGGGGAGAGCAGAGCAGCAACCTGAGATTATAGCCGACATGAAGCTGTTACTCGTTTTGCACTCACTATGTGACACGTCAGCACTAATTGACACGTCAGCACTATTCGACAGGTCAGCACTGGACGCTACTGCTGCCAGCTTGCAGCGGGCAGGAGCACCGAGTTGACCCCCACAGATCCAATATGACATGCATACCCACAGTCCCCACAAATTGCAAGCTTGCAATTTCAGTTTGTGACAAGCAGCTGAGCTGACAGCTTGTTTGCAGCGTACCTTCCTCTATAAAAAAACCACAAATAGATCCACGAGGAACTTAATAAATCATCTCACTTGCACCCTACCTTCATCTGTGAACTCCACGAACGCAAATCGCAGCACCGAGTTGGGATCCCCGTTTTGAATTGGGGTTCCAAATTTGAGTTGAAGTTCCTTTTTTACTCGATTCGATAGTCACCTCCTTTGCTCACTTGCAGCGTACGTACCTTCGTCTGTGAACTCCACAAACGCAAATCGCAGCACCGAGTTGGGATCCCCACAGATGCGACAGTCCACCACCTGTGACACACAGAGGCAGGCAAACGTGGACGAGAGCGCACATGAGACATGTGAGAACTTATGAGGCACCTGGAAACTCACGTGAAGCTAGCTATGACGCACCTGAAAATTCACCTGAAGTTAGGAGGCACCTCACCTGAAAAATCACCTGAAGCTGTGAGGCATCTGGAAACCCACCTGGCCACAGGAGAGGAAGAGTGTGGCTAGCTGCTCCTCCGTCACCTGTCATGGTGAGAAGTGGGTCCAAAAGAAACGGAAAAAGTGGGGTTAAAGGACAGCACAGCACAGAGACGGGCGGGGAGAAAGGAACTACAGTGATACAGGGACGGGGGAGAGAAAGAGAGTGGCTAGCTGCTGCTCCTCCGTGACCTGCCATGGTGACCACAGGTGGAGATGGGAAAGGGGAAAAAGGGGGAAAACAGGACGGCGAAAGCGGGGAGGAAAAGTGGTTGGAAGGAGGGTGAGGAGGGCGGGGAGGGGGGAAAGGGGGGAAGGAAGAGAGTGGCTAGCTGCTGCTCCTCCGTGACCTGCCATGGTGACCACAGGTGGAGATGGGGAGCAGAAAGGTGAGGAGGGAGGGAGGGAAGGGGGAAAGTGAAGAAGTGGTGATCACATGCAGGGTGCAAAATTTCGCCGAATTTTTCATTTTTTGGGCGAAAATTTCGCTATCGAAATTTTCGAACGTATTTTCCGATAATTTCGGTCCCCCTTTCCAAAAACAAATTGGTGGAAAATTTCGCCCGAATTTTTCAGGAGTTTTTTAGAAAAACGTGTGTAAATTTATAATATTCTATGGGTGGATATTTTAATGGCATTTCGCTGCTAGATCTAGGCAGATCAGGCATTTCGCCGTAAGATCTACGGCAGATCTGGCATTTCGCCATCAGATTTAGGGCGGATCCGGCATTTTGCCATCCAATATAGGGCGGGTCTAGCATTTCGCCATAAAATTAAGGGCGGATATGGCATTTCGCCTCCAGGTAAATTTAGAAAAAATCTTTTCTTTTTTTTTGGTATATTAAAATTTCGCCGAAATATTCAAAAAACGGCCGAAATTTTCGATCGAAACAATTTCGCTTAGCGCAATTTTCCACCTTGATCACATGCAGGGTTTCAAAGGAGAGAGGGCACGAGAAGGAAAAGGAGAAAAGGCCATTCCATTGCATACTCCCATCACTTGCTTGCTGCTGCTTTTGGAGGTGACGTGCTGATTTTTATAGAAATCTCAAGACAGAAGCCAACTCACCTGGTGGTCAATGTCAGACACATAGACCGTCCGCTGAGTGCTCTCCTCCGTGGGCTGCTGCCCCGCCCTCTGTTGCTCGCTCACCTCCAACCTCTCTCTATTCCAACTTCACATCTCACCTGGTGATCAATATCAGACACATAGACTGTCCGCTGAGTGCTCTCCTCCGTGGGCTGCTGCCCCGCCCTCCTCGCCTGCTGCCCCCTCCGCTGATTCCCACCCCCCCTGCCCCCAGCACCACCACTACCACCACCACCGCCACCACCACCACCACCACCACCACCAGCAGCAGCAGCAGCAGCAGCAGTAGCAGCAGCAGTGCCACAGACATATATACACACACAGCAACCTAATCAGCTCATCTGGTGGTCAATATCAGACACATAGACCGTCCGCTGAGTGCTCTCTTCCGTGGGCTGCTGCCCTGCCCTCCTCGCCTGCTGCCCCAGTAGTAGCAGTACCATTAACACCATCATTCACACACACAGCAGCCAACTCAACTCACCTGGTGATCAATATCAGACACATAGACCGTCTCCGTGGGTTCCTGCCCCGCCCTCGCCTGCAGTCCCCTGCCCTGAATTTATCCAGTGCCATTACTAACAGTGGCAGTAAGATCATCACATGCTCACCTGGTGGTCAATGTCAGACACATAGACCGTCCGCTGAGTGCTCTCTTCCGTGGGCTGCTGCCCCGCCCTCTGTTGCTCGCTCACCTTCCCCCCCTCCCTCTATTCCAACTTCACATCTCACCTGGTGATCAATGTCAGACACATAGACCGTCCGCTGAGTGCTCTATTCTGTGGGCTGCTGCCCTCTGTACTGGGCCTAACCAGTACAGCCAGGAGCAGCAGTAGCATTACCACCATATACTAACACACAGCAGCCAACTCAGCTCACCTGGTGGTCAATGTCAGACACATAGACCGTCCGCTGAGTGCTTTCTTCCGTTGGCTGCTGCCCTGCCCTCCTCGCCTGCTGCCCTTTGCATTGAACTTATAAAGAGCCGCAGTACCAGTAGCAGTAACACCATCATACATTCAACTCAGCTCACCTGGTGGTCAATATCAGACACAGAGACCGTTCTCTGAGTGCTCTCCTCCGTGGGCTGCTGCCCTGCCCTCGCCTGGTTGTAGCAGTACCATTGACACCATCATTCACACACACACACACACACACCAGCCAACTCAGCTCACCTGGTGATCAATGTCAGACACATAGAGTGTCCGCTGAGTGCTCTCCTCTGTGGGCTGCTGCCCCGCCCTCGCCTGCTGTGCTGCCCCAGTAGTAGCAGTACCATTAACACCATCATTCACACACACAGCAGCCAACTCAGCTCACCTGGTGATCAATGTCAGACACATAGACCGTCCCCTGAGTGCTCTCCTCCGTGGGCTGCTGCCCCGCCCTTGATGCTCGCTCGCTGCCTTCTATATGAACAATCAACTCACCTGGTGGTCGATGTCAGACACATAGACAGTTCGTTGATTGCTCTCCTCCGTGGGCTGCTGCCCCGCCCTTGCCTGCTGCCCCCTGCACTGAACTTATTAAGTACCGTCACAAGTAGCAGTAGAAGTGGCAGAAACACCAGCATACACGCACAGCAAGTAATCAACTCACCTGGTGATCAATATCAGACACATAGACTGTCCGCTGAGTGCTCTCCTCCGTGGGCTGCTGCCCCGCCCTCGCCTGCTGCCCCCTCCGCTGATTCCCACCCCCCCCACCTCCACCACCAGCGTTGCCACCACCGCTGCCACCAGCGCCACCACCACCGCCGCCCGCACCCATCCCCACGTTTCCAGCGGCAGAGCCTTTATTCTGCACGTGCGTATGTAACAGAGGCACGTGAAACAAGTAAGTTGGTGACTTTTGAGTCGACTCAAAAGTCACCTCTCCACGTGCATAACAGAGACACGTGACACAAGTAGGTTTTTGAGGCGTCCCAAAAACACCACCACCAGCGCCACCCGCACCCATCCCCGCGTTGCCAGCGCCAGAGCCTTTATTCTGCACGTGTATAACAGAGGCACGTGAAACAAGTAAGCACCAGAGCTTTTATTCTGCACGTGTATGGCAAATTCACGTGAAACAAGTAAGTTTTTGAGGCGTCTCAACAACACCACCACCAGCGCCACCCCCCACCCGTCCCCGCGTTTCCAGCGCTAGAGCCTTTATTCTGCACGTGTACGGCGTGGGGAAGAGTTTGACACGTGTATGGCGTTGCGTGCATGGCGTTTCGTGGGGTGGGGAAGAGTTAGTCAGGCACGTGTATGGCGTGGGAAACAGTTTGAGATAACATTTGGTACGAATGTGAGAGAAGATGTGAGCATCAATACGGCATCTGTCTCTGCCCCTGTCTCCCTGCCCCTATCTCTCTGCCCCTCCTCACCCTCTCATCCTCGCTCTCTGCCTCTGTCCCTTCAAATAATAGCAGCAAGGCAGATGAAAGGACCACCTGAACCCACCTTCATCTGCCCCTGCTGCTGCTGATTCTGCCGCCCCTCCATCCCTTGCTGCCTCCCATTCGGAGACACCTGTCCGTTCCGTGCTGACGTGGCACCACCAGAAACAGCCACGTCACCCTGCTGCTGACCGTCTGCGTTTCCACTCCCCCCTCCCCCGGATCCTCCTCCCCCTTCTCCTCCCTGCCCCCCTTTCCCCCTCCCTCCGCCGTTGCTCCTGTTGTCCTCCCCGCCCCCCCTCCTTCCTCCGCCTCTTCCCCCCCTGCTCCCCCCGAAGGCGGAGAATACGCCTTAGCATCCGGATTAAGTTTCTTTAACATCTCCTCTAATTCGTCCATATTCTTCGCGTGGTTATAATTAGAGTTCCCCTGCATGTGCGGAGGGTTGTTACGGTAATTCCCCTGCTGCTGCCCGTGCTGCTGCTGATGATGATGATGCTTTTGCTGCTGCTGATACAACCCTCTTCTAGGGTTATTAGGGTTCCGATTCGCGAAATTACCCTGACCCGGGTTACCAAACCCTTGGCCGAGAGCGTTGTAACCAGCGGGCCCGTTCACGTTAACGTTAACGTTAGCGTTTACGTTACGGGGGATGTTATGGGGCCCGAAACCGGACGGCGGACCCATCAGCGGACTCATGGCTTGCGCGGCCAGACCGGGGGGAACGTTTTGCGCAGGCATGGTTGGCGGGGAGAAATTGGGGGAAGGGGAAAATTGGCCCGGAGGTCCGCGCGCGAACCCCATTCCGAACATCTGCTGCGGCGGAAACTGCTGCGGGGGAAACTGTTGCGGCGGAAACTGCTGCGCGGAGCCTTGGGGGAACTGCGGAGATGCTGGGGGAAACTGATGCGGGGAGGCCGGGGGAAACTGCTGCGCGGACCCTGGGGGAAACTGCGGGGACGGCGGGGCGAACTGTTGGGGGGAAGCGGGGGGAAACTGCGGGGGGGCGGGGGAGAACTGCTGGGGGGAGGAGGGGGGAAACTGTTGCGGAGCGCCAGGGAGAAGCGGAGGCATTCCGAACGGCCCACCCGCGTGGCTGTTCCACGGCTGGTACTGCTGAAATAGCGACGGGTATTGATCCGGCGACGATCCCGGAAAGTGCTGATAAGGAGAGATTACGTTCGTTACAGGAACGGCCTGGGGACCCGGGCTAGGCTGAGAGAGGGCCACTGTTTGAGGCGGGTATGGCGCAGGGTTGATCCCTTGCGGAGCAATTACGGCGGGAAAAGGGGAGGAGGCGGATAGGGAAGCGGGGAGGCTGGAAGATACGGATAAAGAAGCCGGAAGGTTGGGATCTGATTCGGATCCTCCTCCGTCTCTGATCTGATCTTCCGACGAATCTGTACCGTAGGTCGCCGATTCGCCGTTGTACGGTGCCGATTCGTTATTATACGTCGCCGAGTCGCCGTTATACGGTGCAGATTCGTTATTGAATGTTGCCGGTTCGCTGGTATACGTCGCAGGGTCAGAACCGATGGAGGTCCCCGTTGGTCCCTGCGAGGAAGGTTCTGGCAGTTGTTTCGAAGCACCATCTGCGTTTGACGAGGTTTCTTGAAACGCGGATGGGGCTTCTTGAAACGGGGCTGGAGCCGCGTCGAAACTCGCGGGTTCGTTAGCGGCGGACGCGGAGGACTCGCCCGCTGCGTCCGAATTGTTGCTTGCCGCCGTCGCCATGACGGCAAGAGAGCAGTTAGGGCTAAACTGGGACAAGCACGTGGTGAAAAAACGAAACCCTAATCGTAGAACTTCTAGGTGATTACACTAATCGTAGGATGCATATTCTAGCCTCCCATAAGTTCTCCACCTAGGGATTGTCGTATTTTGATGTGATGTGATGTGTTGTGATGGGATGGGATGCGATCCATTCAGTGAGCTTGTAACGGGGTTTCCGCGGTTGTAGGAGTGGAGCATTCTCAACAGAGTACAGAACCTAGTTCAGAAATATATAATTCTATAATTCAGCCCTCCAAAGTCAGCTCATTTGGAACCGTTTTCAGATGCACTGAAAAGGTTCACAATTTGTCTTCCATTTTGTAATTACCTCGTGTTTTGCCAGAGCGCAATGATTGAGGGCTTGATACGCTGAGTGCTTAGTTAAACAATTCAAAGTCCCTCATCCGTAACTCAGCAAACCCGAATGGTTCCCAACCTTTTCACCAGCAATAAATAGAATCTGCAAGCATGGTGACCCAAACTATGAGGCTCCATTCGCAATACTTTTACCGCCTCTCCCGTTCTCTCCGCCGAAGCTATTCTCGTCGTCGGTGCGCCCTTCAGAAGCCCGCATTAGTTCCCGATTTCGTGTCCAGCTACGTTGCTGCCTGTGGTGAACACACGCAATTGCCGTTTCGTCTGCACATCAGCGCCTTTTCTCGTTTCGAGACATCTCTCTCAGACCGATCGGCCAGAACGATCAAGACTGTCAGGACGGGGGCAGTGGGAGAATGTCCAACAGCTAGCTGCTAGGAGGCTAGGATGTTACAAGGTTAGAAGGCTAGAAAGGCTGTACTTTCAATCGACTAAAAAATCATATCAGAAGGGGAAAAGAACGGGGAGATTGCTAGGAGGCTAGGAGGCTAGGAGGCTAAAAGGCTAGGAGGGAAGCTAAGCGGCTTGGAGGAGTGGAGTACATGGGGGCTGTAAGCTAGGAGGTCTGGAGGGTAGGAGGCTTGTGATGTTTTAGTCACCCCTGAGGGAGAAGTGGGGGGGAAGTGATTGGAAGCTTGGAGGATAGTAGGCTCGGAAGCTTGGAGGTTTGGAATTTTGGAGGTTGGTAGGTTCGGAAGCTTGGAGGTTTGGAGATCTGGAGGAGAGTAGGCTTGGAAGCTTGGAGGCTTGGAAGCTTGGAGGTTTGGGAGCTTGGGGGTTAGGCAGCAATGGCGGGGTCATCACTGTCATCGCTCGAGAAGAGCATCCTGGAGCTGTGCCAGGAGAACCCCGAGGTAGGGCTTTAAGAGAACCCCGAGGAAAAAAAACTGCATGCTAGTTGCTGAGAAGACGCTTTAGTCTGAGCGACGGCAAGGTCATCACTGTCGTCGCAGGAGAAGAGCATACCGGAGCTGTCTGTGTCAGGAGAACCCCAAGATATGGACAGATCGGTGAAGGGTTGATGGGTATGCCAGGAGAATCCCGAGGTAAAATTTACATGCTAGCTTTTGAAAAGGAGCTGTAGTTTGACCGTTGGCGGGGTCATCACTGTTGTCGCAGGAGAAGAGCATACCGGAGCTATCTGTGTCAGGAGAACCCCAAGGTATGGATTCCAGAAAACACCAAAGTAGCGACTGCATGCAAGCAGGTGTTTGAAACATGGTTAAACTGAACTGAACTGAACTGTTTGGATAAGAGCATCCTGGGGCTGTGTCAGTAAGACCCTGAGGTAGGGAGGGATGAAGAAAAGAAAAACCATGGCTATGGGATGATGTATGGTTATTGCAGTAGCCGTGGGTTGGCTGAACATTGCTCCTTCTTATGAGGCGCCTCAAAGGCCGTTCCTCTGGTCGCTTGCTGGCCCTCTGCGCTTCTCTTTATCCCTTGCATCTGTGTGCATCCCAATCCACCTCGTCATATAATCCAATTTCAGGGTCTATCGGATAAGATTCTCGAGTCGGAGCTCTCATACATGCCTCTGGTCTCTGGCCGGCCCACTTGTATGCTCTTTATCCGCCTCGTCCTATCCAATCTAATCCACCCCATCAAATCCCCCCCAGGGTCTATCGGATAAGGTTCTTGAGTCGGAGCTCTCATATGTGCCTCTGGCCTTTAGCTGACCCACTTTTTGGCCTCTCTCTGGCCTCTGCCTCTCGTATAAGCTCTTTATCTGCCCGCCTCATCCCTGTCCATTCCATCCAGGGCCTATCGGATAAGGTTCTTGAGTCGGAGCTCTCATACGTGCCTCTGGCGTCCTCCAGCTGAACCACTGTTATGCTCTTTATCCGCCTCATCTCTGTTCGTGTAATGCAATCAAATCCAGGGTCTATCAGATAAAATCCTCGAGTCGGAGCTCTCATATGTGCCTCTGGCCGACCGAGTGAATGCTATCAATGGGCTGCTGCAAAAGGTATGGTGCGGTTGTGTGCAGTAGTTTGTCGTTGTGTGCGGTTGTGTGCGTGTGTATGATCGGAGCTCTCATACGTGCCTCTGGCTGACCGAGTGAATGCCATCAATGGGCTGTTACAGAAGGTACAGCTCTTGTCTGTGTGGTTGTGTGCGGTTGTGTGCGGTCGTGTGCATGTGCATGATTGGGAAATTCATACGTGCCTCTGGCCGACCGAGTGAATGCCATCAATGGAATGCCATCATTGATGTGTGCGTGTGTGTATGGTAACTTGTTCATGGTTATGTCTATGTGTCAGGGTATGCCCTACATTCGTTTATAATGATCCGGGATGCGCGTGTACCCCTTGGATCCCTCTACAATCCGGTTTATCCTCTTTATAGAGTGCTTCAGCTGTTGGATCAGAAATTATGTGCTGTAAAAATCCCCCATCCCCTCTTCTTCCCCCTCTGGATTCATCTGCACTGTGCGTTTTATCCTCTTTAGAGAGCGCTTCAGCTGTTCAAATCAGGTGACACGCTCCTGTACAAGCACGTCAGCCAAGACCAAGCCGTGCAGTGAGTGGTGCTGGTGGAATTGGTGCAAGCAAGGTAACCATGATTTGATGTAGCAATGCAAGAAAATCACATGCCACCTCAAGTTGGTTGACACGCTCCTGTACAAGCACGTCAGCCAGGATCAAGCCGTGCAGTGAGTGGTGCTGGTGCAATTAATCAATCAGCCATGAGTCATTGTAACAATGTGGCAATGTATTGTAACCACCAAATCAGCCAACTCTATTGTACAACTCTACAAGCACGTCAGCCAGGACCATGCCGTGCGGTGAGTGCTGTTGGAAGAATTAATCAATCAGCCATGAGTCATTGTAACAATGTGGCAATGTAACCCCCAAATCAGCCAATTCCCCTGTTCCCCTATTCAAGCACGTCAGCCTGGACCAAGCCATGCGGTGAGTGCTGCTTTTCCCTCCCTGTGCTTGCCTTGCCATTCCCTACCTGTAAGTTTCCTACCTCCATGTACATAGCTCCCAGCCCATGCCTCCTGCTCTATACCAGCCGTTCCAAGCCTCCCTTCCCCTACCTCCCATTCCATCTCTCCCATTACATGCCTCCCAGCCATACTCTCGATTCCGTACCTCCCATTCCATACCTCCAATTCCATACCTCCCATTCCGTACCTCCCATTCCCCGCCCCTTTGCATCCCAATCCCACCAGGTTCAAGGGGTTGAGCCCAGAGGATCTCCTTTTGTATCAAGCCATCAAGCAGGCAGGCAACGCAGGTGGGCAAGCAGGCAGGCAGGCAGGCAGACACACACATGCATGTGCGCTTTTCTTGCTGCTCGCACTCCTGTCAGCCCTATCCGCTGCAGTCAAGGGGTTGGGGTCAGTGGATCTTCTTCTGTATCAAGCCATCAAGCAGGCAGGTAGGCAAGTGGTACGGCAATGCAGGTGTGCAAGGAAACAGGCAATGCACAACCTGCGTTGTCTTTGTGCAGTGTAGGGGTTGGGGTCAGTGGATCTTCTTCTGTATCAAGCCGTCAAGCAGGCAGGCAACAGAGGTACGCAAACAACTAACCTGCACCATTCGTCCTTTCCTCCTTGTGGCCTCCTCCTCCCATCTACCCTCTTTTCTGTTCCTCTAACGGACCCGACAGGCATATGGACGCGGGACATGAAGACTCGCACCAACCTGCAGCAGCCGCAGGTCACCCTCTCTTGCTTCCCTCACTGCACATTCCCCACCGTGCCCCCCCTCACCCCCACCATGATGCTTTTATATCCTCCCTGCCATACCCCCATCCGACAGGCATCTGGACGCGGGACATGAAGACTCGCACCAACCTGCAGCAGCCGCAGATCACCAAGATCATTAAAACGTTGGAAGGAAGGAAGCTGATCAAAGCAGTCAAATCGGTCAACGTAAGTCAAAGCTAGTCAAGGTGGGAGTCAAAGCTGTCAACTCAGCAGCCGCAGATCACCAAGATCATTGAAACGCTGGAGGGGAGGAAGCTGATAAAAGCAGTCAAATCGGTCAACGTGAGTCAAACTAGTCAAGGCAGTCAACCCTGGAGCAGCCACAGATCGCCAAGATCATCAAGACGCTGGAGGGGAGAAAGCTGATCAAGGCAGTCAAGTCAGTCAACGTGAGTCAACGAAGTCAACAGAGTGCAGTCAAGTCGGTCAATTAGAGTCAAAGCAGTTAAGTCAACGTGGTGGTCGTCAGTATCGAAGCACCCTGTTTGGTCAACGACATTCAAAGCAGTCCACGTGGCAAAGCAGTCCAAGTGAGTCAAAGCAGTCCAAGTGAGTCAACGCAGTCAAAGTGAGTCAAAGCAGTCAACGCAGTTGACGCTAGTCGAGCCTCCTCCTCCCCCTCCCTTCAACTGCCCTCCCGTTCTCGCCTTCCCTTTTTTTCCCCACTTTCCTCTCTTCCTCACAGTCATCTCGTTCCGTTTCTTCTCTCTGCATCTGCATTTTCGCAGAACAAGAGCCGCTAGCTCTACATGCTGACGACCGCCGCCTCAAAAGGCTAGCTCTACTGTCTACATGCTATATGAGCTCGAGCCATCCCCCTTCTCCCTTCCTCTCCTTCCACTCACCTTCGTACCTGTCTTTCCTCTCTGTTTCTCCCTGCATTCGTCAGAACAAGAGCCGAAAGCTCTTCATGCTATATGAGCTCGAGCCGTCTTGGGAGGTGACAGGATACCGATGCCAGTGCCATTACCTTCCCTCATGTCTCTCTGTGTTCCCCATGCTTCCTGTAATCCCTGTGGTTATGCATTATCGCAGAACAAGAGCCGAAATCTCTTCATGCTATAAGAGCTCGAGCCGTCCCGGGAAGTGACAGGAGGGGCGTGGCACACTGGTGCTGATGCCATTACCTTTCCTCATGCTCCTCTGCTCCTCTGCTCCTCTGTTCCCTCTTCTCCCTCTGCTCCTCTGCTCCTCTGCTCCTCTGCTCCCTCTGCTCCCTCTGCTCCCTCTGCTCCCTCTGCTCCCCACTCTTTCAGAACAAGAGTCGCAAGCTCTACATGCTCTATGAGCTTGAGCCATCCCGGGAGGTCACAGGAGGCGCGTGGTACACGGATGCTGAGTTTGATGCGGAGTTCATCCAGGCTTTGAGGCAGCTGTGCCTGACCCACATCGTCAAGCTGGTACGTGATGCTTGCTTCAGTGCTAGTCTGTGGATGTATGTGGTACTGTGCGGTGTGCGTGACCCTGTGTGTGTGCATGTACCTAGAGGGAGGTGACAGGAGGGGTGTGGTACACAGATGCTGAATGCGACGCTGAGACAAACTCGGGTGCCCTTCCCTTCTCTCTTACCGCTTGCTTTTTTTTTCCTCCTCTTCTTTTTGCGATTTTTTTTGCTTGTTGGCAGGGAGGCGATACGCTTGAAGGGGTGGTGGAGGCAGTGAGGAGGGCAGGCAGTGGGGGAAGAGAGGACCTGAGAATGGAAGATTTTAGACAGGTGGGTGCGAGGAGGGGAGTACGGGAGGAGAAAGAAGGTGGTGGCTGTGGATAGTGGTGGCTGTGGGGATAGTGGTGGCTGTGGGGATAGTGGTGGCTGTGGGGATAGTGGTGGCTGTGGGGATAGTGGTGGCTGTGGGGATAGTGGTGGCTGTGGGGATAGTGGTGGCTGTGGGGATAGTGGTGGCTGTGGGGATAGTGGTGGCTGTGGGGATAGTGGTGGCTGTGGGGATAGTGGTGGCTGTGGGGATAGTGGTGGCTGTGGGGATAGTGGTGGCTGTGGGGATAGTGGTGGCTGTGGGGATAGTGGTGGCTGTGGGGATAGTGGTGGCTGTGGGGATAGTGGTGGCTGTGGGGATAGTGGTGGCTGTGGGGATAGTGGTGGCTGTGGGGATAGTGGTGGCTGTGGGGATAGTGGTGGCTGTGGGGATAGTGGTGGCTGTGGGGATAGTGGTGGCTGTGGGGATAGTGGTGGCTGTGGGGATAGTGGTGGCTGTGGGGATAGTGGTGGCTGTGGGGATAGTGGTGGCTGTGGGGATAGTGGTGGCTGTGGGGATAGTGGTGGCTGTGGGGATAGTGGTGGCTGTGGGGATAGTGGTGGCTGTGGGGATAGTGGTGGCTGTGGGGATAGTGGTGGCTGTGGGGATAGTGGTGGCTGTGGGGATAGTGGTGGCTGTGGGGATAGTGGTGGCTGTGGGGATAGTGGTGGCTGTGGGGATAGTGGTGGCTGTGGGGATAGTGGTGGCTGTGGGGATAGTGGTGGCTGTGGGGATAGTGGTGGCTGTGGGGATAGTGGTGGCTGTGGGGATAGTGGTGGCTGTGGGGATAGTGGTGGCTGTGGGGATAGTGGTGGCTGTGGGGATAGTGGTGGCTGTGGGGATAGTGGTGGCTGTGGGGATAGTGGTGGCTGTGGGGATAGTGGTGGCTGTGGGGATAGTGGTGGCTGTGGGGATAGTGGTGGCTGTGGGGATAGTGGTGGCTGTGGGGATAGTGGTGGCTGTGGGGATAGTGGTGGCTGTGGGGATAGTGGTGGCTGTGGGGATAGTGGTGGCTGTGGGGATAGTGGTGGCTGTGGGGATAGTGGTGGCTGTGGGGATAGTGGTGGCTGTGGGGATAGTGGTGGCTGTGGGGATAGTGGTGGCTGTGGGGATAGTGGTGGCTGTGGGGATAGTGGTGGCTGTGGGGATAGTGGTGGCTGTGGGGATAGTGGTGGCTGTGGGGATAGTGGTGGCTGTGGGGATAGTGGTGGCTGTGGGGATAGTGGTGGCTGTGGGGATAGTGGTGGCTGTGGGGATAGTGGTGGCTGTGGGGATAGTGGTGGCTGTGGGGATAGTGGTGGCTGTGGGGATAGTGGTGGCTGTGGGGATAGTGGTGGCTGTGGGGATAGTGGTGGCTGTGGGGATAGTGGTGGCTGTGGGGATAGTGGTGGCTGTGGGGATAGTGGTGGCTGTGGGGATAGTGGTGGCTGTGGGGATAGTGGTGGCTGTGGGGATAGTGGTGGCTGTGGGGATAGTGGTGGCTGTGGGGATAGTGGTGGCTGTGGGGATAGTGGTGGCTGTGGGGATAGTGGTGGCTGTGGGGATAGTGGTGGCTGTGGGGATAGTGGTGGCTGTGGGGATAGTGGTGGCTGTGGGGATAGTGGTGGCTGTGGGGATAGTGGTGGCTGTGGGGATAGTGGTGGCTGTGGGGATAGTGGTGGCTGTGGGGATAGTGGTGGCTGTGGGGATAGTGGTGGCTGTGGGGATAGTGGTGGCTGTGGGGATAGTGGTGGCTGTGGGGATAGTGGTGGCTGTGGGGATAGTGGTGGCTGTGGGGATAGTGGTGGCTGTGGGGATAGTGGTGGCTGTGGGGATAGTGGTGGCTGTGGGGATAGTGGTGGCTGTGGGGATAGTGGTGGCTGTGGGGATAGTGGTGGCTGTGGGGATAGTGGTGGCTGTGGGGATAGTGGTGGCTGTGGGGATAGTGGTGGCTGTGGGGATAGTGGTGGCTGTGGGGATAGTGGTGGCTGTGGGGATAGTGGTGGCTGTGGGGATAGTGGTGGCTGTGGGGATAGTGGTGGCTGTGGGGATAGTGGTGGCTGTGGGGATAGTGGTGGCTGTGGGGATAGTGGTGGCTGTGGGGATAGTGGTGGCTGTGGGGATAGTGGTGGCTGTGGGGATAGTGGTGGCTGTGGGGATAGTGGTGGCTGTGGGGATAGTGGTGGCTGTGGGGATAGTGGTGGCTGTGGGGATAGTGGTGGCTGTGGGGATAGTGGTGGCTGTGGGGATAGTGGTGGCTGTGGGGATAGTGGTGGCTGTGGGGATAGTGGTGGCTGTGGGGATAGTGGTGGCTGTGGGGATAGTGGTGGCTGTGGGGATAGTGGTGGCTGTGGGGATAGTGGTGGCTGTGGGGATAGTGGTGGCTGTGGGGATAGTGGTGGCTGTGGGGATAGTGGTGGCTGTGGGGATAGTGGTGGCTGTGGGGATAGTGGTGGCTGTGGGGATAGTGGTGGCTGTGGGGATAGTGGTGGCTGTGGGGATAGTGGTGGCTGTGGGGATAGTGGTGGCTGTGGGGATAGTGGTGGCTGTGGGGATAGTGGTGGCTGTGGGGATAGTGGTGGCTGTGGGGATAGTGGTGGCTGTGGGGATAGTGGTGGCTGTGGGGATAGTGGTGGCTGTGGGGATAGTGGTGGCTGTGGGGATAGTGGTGGCTGTGGGGATAGTGGTGGCTGTGGGGATAGTGGTGGCTGTGGGGATAGTGGTGGCTGTGGGGATAGTGGTGGCTGTGGGGATAGTGGTGGCTGTGGGGATAGTGGTGGCTGTGGGGATAGTGGTGGCTGTGGGGATAGTGGTGGCTGTGGGGATAGTGGTGGCTGTGGGGATAGTGGTGGCTGTGGGGATAGTGGTGGCTGTGGGGATAGTGGTGGCTGTGGGGATAGTGGTGGCTGTGGGGATAGTGGTGGCTGTGGGGATAGTGGTGGCTGTGGGGATAGTGGTGGCTGTGGGGATAGTGGTGGCTGTGGGGATAGTGGTGGCTGTGGGGATAGTGGTGGCTGTGGGGATAGTGGTGGCTGTGGGGATAGTGGTGGCTGTGGGGATAGTGGTGGCTGTGGGGATAGTGGTGGCTGTGGGGATAGTGGTGGCTGTGGGGATAGTGGTGGCTGTGGGGATAGTGGTGGCTGTGGGGATAGTGGTGGCTGTGGGGATAGTGGTGGCTGTGGGGATAGTGGTGGCTGTGGGGATAGTGGTGGCTGTGGGGATAGTGGTGGCTGTGGGGATAGTGGTGGCTGTGGGGATAGTGGTGGCTGTGGGGATAGTGGTGGCTGTGGGGATAGTGGTGGCTGTGGGGATAGTGGTGGCTGTGGGGATAGTGGTGGCTGTGGGGATAGTGGTGGCTGTGGGGATAGTGGTGGCTGTGGGGATAGTGGTGGCTGTGGGGATAGTGGTGGCTGTGGGGATAGTGGTGGCTGTGGGGATAGTGGTGGCTGTGGGGATAGTGGTGGCTGTGGGGATAGTGGTGGCTGTGGGGATAGTGGTGGCTGTGGGGATAGTGGTGGCTGTGGGGATAGTGGTGGCTGTGGGGATAGTGGTGGCTGTGGGGATAGTGGTGGCTGTGGGGATAGTGGTGGCTGTGGGGATAGTGGTGGCTGTGGGGATAGTGGTGGCTGTGGGGATAGTGGTGGCTGTGGGGATAGTGGTGGCTGTGGGGATAGTGGTGGCTGTGGGGATAGTGGTGGCTGTGGGGATAGTGGTGGCTGTGGGGATAGTGGTGGCTGTGGGGATAGTGGTGGCTGTGGGGATAGTGGTGGCTGTGGGGATAGTGGTGGCTGTGGGGATAGTGGTGGCTGTGGGGATAGTGGTGGCTGTGGGGATAGTGGTGGCTGTGGGGATAGTGGTGGCTGTGGGGATAGTGGTGGCTGTGGGGATAGTGGTGGCTGTGGGGATAGTGGTGGCTGTGGGGATAGTGGTGGCTGTGGGGATAGTGGTGGCTGTGGGGATAGTGGTGGCTGTGGGGATAGTGGTGGCTGTGGGGATAGTGGTGGCTGTGGGGATAGTGGTGGCTGTGGGGATAGTGGTGGCTGTGGGGATAGTGGTGGCTGTGGGGATAGTGGTGGCTGTGGGGATAGTGGTGGCTGTGGGGATAGTGGTGGCTGTGGGGATAGTGGTGGCTGTGGGGATAGTGGTGGCTGTGGGGATAGTGGTGGCTGTGGGGATAGTGGTGGCTGTGGGGATAGTGGTGGCTGTGGGGATAGTGGTGGCTGTGGGGATAGTGGTGGCTGTGGGGATAGTGGTGGCTGTGGGGATAGTGGTGGCTGTGGGGATAGTGGTGGCTGTGGGGATAGTGGTGGCTGTGGGGATAGTGGTGGCTGTGGGGATAGTGGTGGCTGTGGGGATAGTGGTGGCTGTGGGGATAGTGGTGGCTGTGGGGATAGTGGTGGCTGTGGGGATAGTGGTGGCTGTGGGGATAGTGGTGGCTGTGGGGATAGTGGTGGCTGTGGGGATAGTGGTGGCTGTGGGGATAGTGGTGGCTGTGGGGATAGTGGTGGCTGTGGGGATAGTGGTGGCTGTGGGGATAGTGGTGGCTGTGGGGATAGTGGTGGCTGTGGGGATAGTGGTGGCTGTGGGGATAGTGGTGGCTGTGGGGATAGTGGTGGCTGTGGGGATAGTGGTGGCTGTGGGGATAGTGGTGGCTGTGGGGATAGTGGTGGCTGTGGGGATAGTGGTGGCTGTGGGGATAGTGGTGGCTGTGGGGATAGTGGTGGCTGTGGGGATAGTGGTGGCTGTGGGGATAGTGGTGGCTGTGGGGATAGTGGTGGCTGTGGGGATAGTGGTGGCTGTGGGGATAGTGGTGGCTGTGGGGATAGTGGTGGCTGTGGGGATAGTGGTGGCTGTGGGGATAGTGGTGGCTGTGGGGATAGTGGTGGCTGTGGGGATAGTGGTGGCTGTGGGGATAGTGGTGGCTGTGGGGATAGTGGTGGCTGTGGGGATAGTGGTGGCTGTGGGGATAGTGGTGGCTGTGGGGATAGTGGTGGCTGTGGGGATAGTGGTGGCTGTGGGGATAGTGGTGGCTGTGGGGATAGTGGTGGCTGTGGGGATAGTGGTGGCTGTGGGGATAGTGGTGGCTGTGGGGATAGTGGTGGCTGTGGGGATAGTGGTGGCTGTGGGGATAGTGGTGGCTGTGGGGATAGTGGTGGCTGTGGGGATAGTGGTGGCTGTGGGGATAGTGGTGGCTGTGGGGATAGTGGTGGCTGTGGGGATAGTGGTGGCTGTGGGGATAGTGGTGGCTGTGGGGATAGTGGTGGCTGTGGGGATAGTGGTGGCTGTGGGGATAGTGGTGGCTGTGGGGATAGTGGTGGCTGTGGGGATAGTGGTGGCTGTGGGGATAGTGGTGGCTGTGGGGATAGTGGTGGCTGTGGGGATAGTGGTGGCTGTGGGGATAGTGGTGGCTGTGGGGATAGTGGTGGCTGTGGGGATAGTGGTGGCTGTGGGGATAGTGGTGGCTGTGGGGATAGTGGTGGCTGTGGGGATAGTGGTGGCTGTGGGGATAGTGGTGGCTGTGGGGATAGTGGTGGCTGTGGGGATAGTGGTGGCTGTGGGGATAGTGGTGGCTGTGGGGATAGTGGTGGCTGTGGGGATAGTGGTGGCTGTGGGGATAGTGGTGGCTGTGGGGATAGTGGTGGCTGTGGGGATAGTGGTGGCTGTGGGGATAGTGGTGGCTGTGGGGATAGTGGTGGCTGTGGGGATAGTGGTGGCTGTGGGGATAGTGGTGGCTGTGGGGATAGTGGTGGCTGTGGGGATAGTGGTGGCTGTGGGGATAGTGGTGGCTGTGGGGATAGTGGTGGCTGTGGGGATAGTGGTGGCTGTGGGGATAGTGGTGGCTGTGGGGATAGTGGTGGCTGTGGGGATAGTGGTGGCTGTGGGGATAGTGGTGGCTGTGGGGATAGTGGTGGCTGTGGGGATAGTGGTGGCTGTGGGGATAGTGGTGGCTGTGGGGATAGTGGTGGCTGTGGGGATAGTGGTGGCTGTGGGGATAGTGGTGGCTGTGGGGATAGTGGTGGCTGTGGGGATAGTGGTGGCTGTGGGGATAGTGGTGGCTGTGGGGATAGTGGTGGCTGTGGGGATAGTGGTGGCTGTGGGGATAGTGGTGGCTGTGGGGATAGTGGTGGCTGTGGGGATAGTGGTGGCTGTGGGGATAGTGGTGGCTGTGGGGATAGTGGTGGCTGTGGGGATAGTGGTGGCTGTGGGGATAGTGGTGGCTGTGGGGATAGTGGTGGCTGTGGGGATAGTGGTGGCTGTGGGGATAGTGGTGGCTGTGGGGATAGTGGTGGCTGTGGGGATAGTGGTGGCTGTGGGGATAGTGGTGGCTGTGGGGATAGTGGTGGCTGTGGGGATAGTGGTGGCTGTGGGGATAGTGGTGGCTGTGGGGATAGTGGTGGCTGTGGGGATAGTGGTGGCTGTGGGGATAGTGGTGGCTGTGGGGATAGTGGTGGCTGTGGGGATAGTGGTGGCTGTGGGGATAGTGGTGGCTGTGGGGATAGTGGTGGCTGTGGGGATAGTGGTGGCTGTGGGGATAGTGGTGGCTGTGGGGATAGTGGTGGCTGTGGGGATAGTGGTGGCTGTGGGGATAGTGGTGGCTGTGGGGATAGTGGTGGCTGTGGGGATAGTGGTGGCTGTGGGGATAGTGGTGGCTGTGGGGATAGTGGTGGCTGTGGGGATAGTGGTGGCTGTGGGGATAGTGGTGGCTGTGGGGATAGTGGTGGCTGTGGGGATAGTGGTGGCTGTGGGGATAGTGGTGGCTGTGGGGATAGTGGTGGCTGTGGGGATAGTGGTGGCTGTGGGGATAGTGGTGGCTGTGGGGATAGTGGTGGCTGTGGGGATAGTGGTGGCTGTGGGGATAGTGGTGGCTGTGGGGATAGTGGTGGCTGTGGGGATAGTGGTGGCTGTGGGGATAGTGGTGGCTGTGGGGATAGTGGTGGCTGTGGGGATAGTGGTGGCTGTGGGGATAGTGGTGGCTGTGGGGATAGTGGTGGCTGTGGGGATAGTGGTGGCTGTGGGGATAGTGGTGGCTGTGGGGATAGTGGTGGCTGTGGGGATAGTGGTGGCTGTGGGGATAGTGGTGGCTGTGGGGATAGTGGTGGCTGTGGGGATAGTGGTGGCTGTGGGGATAGTGGTGGCTGTGGGGATAGTGGTGGCTGTGGGGATAGTGGTGGCTGTGGGGATAGTGGTGGCTGTGGGGATAGTGGTGGCTGTGGGGATAGTGGTGGCTGTGGGGATAGTGGTGGCTGTGGGGATAGTGGTGGCTGTGGGGATAGTGGTGGCTGTGGGGATAGTGGTGGCTGTGGGGATAGTGGTGGCTGTGGGGATAGTGGTGGCTGTGGGGATAGTGGTGGCTGTGGGGATAGTGGTGGCTGTGGGGATAGTGGTGGCTGTGGGGATAGTGGTGGCTGTGGGGATAGTGGTGGCTGTGGGGATAGTGGTGGCTGTGGGGATAGTGGTGGCTGTGGGGATAGTGGTGGCTGTGGGGATAGTGGTGGCTGTGGGGATAGTGGTGGCTGTGGGGATAGTGGTGGCTGTGGGGATAGTGGTGGCTGTGGGGATAGTGGTGGCTGTGGGGATAGTGGTGGCTGTGGGGATAGTGGTGGCTGTGGGGATAGTGGTGGCTGTGGGGATAGTGGTGGCTGTGGGGATAGTGGTGGCTGTGGGGATAGTGGTGGCTGTGGGGATAGTGGTGGCTGTGGGGATAGTGGTGGCTGTGGGGATAGTGGTGGCTGTGGGGATAGTGGTGGCTGTGGGGATAGTGGTGGCTGTGGGGATAGTGGTGGCTGTGGGGATAGTGGTGGCTGTGGGGATAGTGGTGGCTGTGGGGATAGTGGTGGCTGTGGGGATAGTGGTGGCTGTGGGGATAGTGGTGGCTGTGGGGATAGTGGTGGCTGTGGGGATAGTGGTGGCTGTGGGGATAGTGGTGGCTGTGGGGATAGTGGTGGCTGTGGGGATAGTGGTGGCTGTGGGGATAGTGGTGGCTGTGGGGATAGTGGTGGCTGTGGGGATAGTGGTGGCTGTGGGGATAGTGGTGGCTGTGGGGATAGTGGTGGCTGTGGGGATAGTGGTGGCTGTGGGGATAGTGGTGGCTGTGGGGATAGTGGTGGCTGTGGGGATAGTGGTGGCTGTGGGGATAGTGGTGGCTGTGGGGATAGTGGTGGCTGTGGGGATAGTGGTGGCTGTGGGGATAGTGGTGGCTGTGGGGATAGTGGTGGCTGTGGGGATAGTGGTGGCTGTGGGGATAGTGGTGGCTGTGGGGATAGTGGTGGCTGTGGGGATAGTGGTGGCTGTGGGGATAGTGGTGGCTGTGGGGATAGTGGTGGCTGTGGGGATAGTGGTGGCTGTGGGGATAGTGGTGGCTGTGGGGATAGTGGTGGCTGTGGGGATAGTGGTGGCTGTGGGGATAGTGGTGGCTGTGGGGATAGTGGTGGCTGTGGGGATAGTGGTGGCTGTGGGGATAGTGGTGGCTGTGGGGATAGTGGTGGCTGTGGGGATAGTGGTGGCTGTGGGGATAGTGGTGGCTGTGGGGATAGTGGTGGCTGTGGGGATAGTGGTGGCTGTGGGGATAGTGGTGGCTGTGGGGATAGTGGTGGCTGTGGGGATAGTGGTGGCTGTGGGGATAGTGGTGGCTGTGGGGATAGTGGTGGCTGTGGGGATAGTGGTGGCTGTGGGGATAGTGGTGGCTGTGGGGATAGTGGTGGCTGTGGGGATAGTGGTGGCTGTGGGGATAGTGGTGGCTGTGGGGATAGTGGTGGCTGTGGGGATAGTGGTGGCTGTGGGGATAGTGGTGGCTGTGGGGATAGTGGTGGCTGTGGGGATAGTGGTGGCTGTGGGGATAGTGGTGGCTGTGGGGATAGTGGTGGCTGTGGGGATAGTGGTGGCTGTGGGGATAGTGGTGGCTGTGGGGATAGTGGTGGCTGTGGGGATAGTGGTGGCTGTGGGGATAGTGGTGGCTGTGGGGATAGTGGTGGCTGTGGGGATAGTGGTGGCTGTGGGGATAGTGGTGGCTGTGGGGATAGTGGTGGCTGTGGGGATAGTGGTGGCTGTGGGGATAGTGGTGGCTGTGGGGATAGTGGTGGCTGTGGGGATAGTGGTGGCTGTGGGGATAGTGGTGGCTGTGGGGATAGTGGTGGCTGTGGGGATAGTGGTGGCTGTGGGGATAGTGGTGGCTGTGGGGATAGTGGTGGCTGTGGGGATAGTGGTGGCTGTGGGGATAGTGGTGGCTGTGGGGATAGTGGTGGCTGTGGGGATAGTGGTGGCTGTGGGGATAGTGGTGGCTGTGGGGATAGTGGTGGCTGTGGGGATAGTGGTGGCTGTGGGGATAGTGGTGGCTGTGGGGATAGTGGTGGCTGTGGGGATAGTGGTGGCTGTGGGGATAGTGGTGGCTGTGGGGATAGTGGTGGCTGTGGGGATAGTGGTGGCTGTGGGGATAGTGGTGGCTGTGGGGATAGTGGTGGCTGTGGGGATAGTGGTGGCTGTGGGGATAGTGGTGGCTGTGGGGATAGTGGTGGCTGTGGGGATAGTGGTGGCTGTGGGGATAGTGGTGGCTGTGGGGATAGTGGTGGCTGTGGGGATAGTGGTGGCTGTGGGGATAGTGGTGGCTGTGGGGATAGTGGTGGCTGTGGGGATAGTGGTGGCTGTGGGGATAGTGGTGGCTGTGGGGATAGTGGTGGCTGTGGGGATAGTGGTGGCTGTGGGGATAGTGGTGGCTAGTGGTGGCTGTGGGGATAGTGGTGGCTGTGGGGATAGTGGTGGCTGTGGGGATAGTGGTGGCTGTGGGGATAGTGGTGGCTGTGGGGATAGTGGTGGCTGTGGGGATAGTGGTGGCTGTGGGGATAGTGGTGGCTGTGGGGATAGTGGTGGCTGTGGGGATAGTGGTGGCTGTGGGGATAGTGGTGGCTGTGGGGATAGTGGTGGCTGTGGGGATAGTGGTGGCTGTGGGGATAGTGGTGGCTGTGGGGATAGTGGTGGCTGTGGGGATAGTGGTGGCTGTGGGGATAGTGGTGGCTGTGGGGATAGTGGTGGCTGTGGGGATAGTGGTGGCTGTGGGGATAGTGGTGGCTGTGGGGATAGTGGTGGCTGTGGGGATAGTGGTGGCTGTGGGGATAGTGGTGGCTGTGGGGATAGTGGTGGCTGTGGGGATAGTGGTGGCTGTGGGGATAGTGGTGGCTGTGGGGATAGTGGTGGCTGTGGGGATAGTGGTGGCTGTGGGGATAGTGGTGGCTGTGGGGATAGTGGTGGCTGTGGGGATAGTGGTGGCTGTGGGGATAGTGGTGGCTGTGGGGATAGTGGTGGCTGTGGGGATAGTGGTGGCTGTGGGGATAGTGGTGGCTGTGGGGATAGTGGTGGCTGTGGGGATAGTGGTGGCTGTGGGGATAGTGGTGGCTGTGGGGATAGTGGTGGCTGTGGGGATAGTGGTGGCTGTGGGGATAGTGGTGGCTGTGGGGATAGTGGTGGCTGTGGGGATAGTGGTGGCTGTGGGGATAGTGGTGGCTGTGGGGATAGTGGTGGCTGTGGGGATAGTGGTGGCTGTGGGGATAGTGGTGGCTGTGGGGATAGTGGTGGCTGTGGGGATAGTGGTGGCTGTGGGGATAGTGGTGGCTGTGGGGATAGTGGTGGCTGTGGGGATAGTGGTGGCTGTGGGGATAGTGGTGGCTGTGGGGATAGTGGTGGCTGTGGGGATAGTGGTGGCTGTGGGGATAGTGGTGGCTGTGGGGATAGTGGTGGCTGTGGGGATAGTGGTGGCTGTGGGGATAGTGGTGGCTGTGGGGATAGTGGTGGCTGTGGGGATAGTGGTGGCTGTGGGGATAGTGGTGGCTGTGGGGATAGTGGTGGCTGTGGGGATAGTGGTGGCTGTGGGGATAGTGGTGGCTGTGGGGATAGTGGTGGCTGTGGGGATAGTGGTGGCTGTGGGGATAGTGGTGGCTGTGGGGATAGTGGTGGCTGTGGGGATAGTGGTGGCTGTGGGGATAGTGGTGGCTGTGGGGATAGTGGTGGCTGTGGGGATAGTGGTGGCTGTGGGGATAGTGGTGGCTGTGGGGATAGTGGTGGCTGTGGGGATAGTGGTGGCTGTGGGGATAGTGGTGGCTGTGGGGATAGTGGTGGCTGTGGGGATAGTGGTGGCTGTGGGGATAGTGGTGGCTGTGGGGATAGTGGTGGCTGTGGGGATAGTGGTGGCTGTGGGGATAGTGGTGGCTGTGGGGATAGTGGTGGCTGTGGGGATAGTGGTGGCTGTGGGGATAGTGGTGGCTGTGGGGATAGTGGTGGCTGTGGGGATAGTGGTGGCTGTGGGGATAGTGGTGGCTGTGGGGATAGTGGTGGCTGTGGGGATAGTGGTGGCTGTGGGGATAGTGGTGGCTGTGGGGATAGTGGTGGCTGTGGGGATAGTGGTGGCTGTGGGGATAGTGGTGGCTGTGGGGATAGTGGTGGCTGTGGGGATAGTGGTGGCTGTGGGGATAGTGGTGGCTGTGGGGATAGTGGTGGCTGTGGGGATAGTGGTGGCTGTGGGGATAGTGGTGGCTGTGGGGATAGTGGTGGCTGTGGGGATAGTGGTGGCTGTGGGGATAGTGGTGGCTGTGGGGATAGTGGTGGCTGTGGGGATAGTGGTGGCTGTGGGGATAGTGGTGGCTGTGGGGATAGTGGTGGCTGTGGGGATAGTGGTGGCTGTGGGGATAGTGGTGGCTGTGGGGATAGTGGTGGCTGTGGGGATAGTGGTGGCTGTGGGGATAGTGGTGGCTGTGGGGATAGTGGTGGCTGTGGGGATAGTGGTGGCTGTGGGGATAGTGGTGGCTGTGGGGATAGTGGTGGCTGTGGGGATAGTGGTGGCTGTGGGGATAGTGGTGGCTGTGGGGATAGTGGTGGCTGTGGGGATAGTGGTGGCTGTGGGGATAGTGGTGGCTGTGGGGATAGTGGTGGCTGTGGGGATAGTGGTGGCTGTGGGGATAGTGGTGGCTGTGGGGATAGTGGTGGCTGTGGGGATAGTGGTGGCTGTGGGGATAGTGGTGGCTGTGGGGATAGTGGTGGCTGTGGGGATAGTGGTGGCTGTGGGGATAGTGGTGGCTGTGGGGATAGTGGTGGCTGTGGGGATAGTGGTGGCTGTGGGGATAGTGGTGGCTGTGGGGATAGTGGTGGCTGTGGGGATAGTGGTGGCTGTGGGGATAGTGGTGGCTGTGGGGATAGTGGTGGCTGTGGGGATAGTGGTGGCTGTGGGGATAGTGGTGGCTGTGGGGATAGTGGTGGCTGTGGGGATAGTGGTGGCTGTGGGGATAGTGGTGGCTGTGGGGATAGTGGTGGCTGTGGGGATAGTGGTGGCTGTGGGGATAGTGGTGGCTGTGGGGATAGTGGTGGCTGTGGGGATAGTGGTGGCTGTGGGGATAGTGGTGGCTGTGGGGATAGTGGTGGCTGTGGGGATAGTGGTGGCTGTGGGGATAGTGGTGGCTGTGGGGATAGTGGTGGCTGTGGGGATAGTGGTGGCTGTGGGGATAGTGGTGGCTGTGGGGATAGTGGTGGCTGTGGGGATAGTGGTGGCTGTGGGGATAGTGGTGGCTGTGGGGATAGTGGTGGCTGTGGGGATAGTGGTGGCTGTGGGGATAGTGGTGGCTGTGGGGATAGTGGTGGCTGTGGGGATAGTGGTGGCTGTGGGGATAGTGGTGGCTGTGGGGATAGTGGTGGCTGTGGGGATAGTGGTGGCTGTGGGGATAGTGGTGGCTGTGGGGATAGTGGTGGCTGTGGGGATAGTGGTGGCTGTGGGGATAGTGGTGGCTGTGGGGATAGTGGTGGCTGTGGGGATAGTGGTGGCTGTGGGGATAGTGGTGGCTGTGGGGATAGTGGTGGCTGTGGGGATAGTGGTGGCTGTGGGGATAGTGGTGGCTGTGGGGATAGTGGTGGCTGTGGGGATAGTGGTGGCTGTGGGGATAGTGGTGGCTGTGGGGATAGTGGTGGCTGTGGGGATAGTGGTGGCTGTGGGGATAGTGGTGGCTGTGGGGATAGTGGTGGCTGTGGGGATAGTGGTGGCTGTGGGGATAGTGGTGGCTGTGGGGATAGTGGTGGCTGTGGGGATAGTGGTGGCTGTGGGGATAGTGGTGGCTGTGGGGATAGTGGTGGCTGTGGGGATAGTGGTGGCTGTGGGGATAGTGGTGGCTGTGGGGATAGTGGTGGCTGTGGGGATAGTGGTGGCTGTGGGGATAGTGGTGGCTGTGGGGATAGTGGTGGCTGTGGGGATAGTGGTGGCTGTGGGGATAGTGGTGGCTGTGGGGATAGTGGTGGCTGTGGGGATAGTGGTGGCTGTGGGGATAGTGGTGGCTGTGGGGATAGTGGTGGCTGTGGGGATAGTGGTGGCTGTGGGGATAGTGGTGGCTGTGGGGATAGTGGTGGCTGTGGGGATAGTGGTGGCTGTGGGGATAGTGGTGGCTGTGGGGATAGTGGTGGCTGTGGGGATAGTGGTGGCTGTGGGGATAGTGGTGGCTGTGGGGATAGTGGTGGCTGTGGGGATAGTGGTGGCTGTGGGGATAGTGGTGGCTGTGGGGATAGTGGTGGCTGTGGGGATAGTGGTGGCTGTGGGGATAGTGGTGGCTGTGGGGATAGTGGTGGCTGTGGGGATAGTGGTGGCTGTGGGGATAGTGGTGGCTGTGGGGATAGTGGTGGCTGTGGGGATAGTGGTGGCTGTGGGGATAGTGGTGGCTGTGGGGATAGTGGTGGCTGTGGGGATAGTGGTGGCTGTGGGGATAGTGGTGGCTGTGGGGATAGTGGTGGCTGTGGGGATAGTGGTGGCTGTGGGGATAGTGGTGGCTGTGGGGATAGTGGTGGCTGTGGGGATAGTGGTGGCTGTGGGGATAGTGGTGGCTGTGGGGATAGTGGTGGCTGTGGGGATAGTGGTGGCTGTGGGGATAGTGGTGGCTGTGGGGATAGTGGTGGCTGTGGGGATAGTGGTGGCTGTGGGGATAGTGGTGGCTGTGGGGATAGTGGTGGCTGTGGGGATAGTGGTGGCTGTGGGGATAGTGGTGGCTGTGGGGATAGTGGTGGCTGTGGGGATAGTGGTGGCTGTGGGGATAGTGGTGGCTGTGGGGATAGTGGTGGCTGTGGGGATAGTGGTGGCTGTGGGGATAGTGGTGGCTGTGGGGATAGTGGTGGCTGTGGGGATAGTGGTGGCTGTGGTGGATGTGGGATAGTGGTGGCTGTGGGGATAGTGGTGGCTGTGGGGATAGTGGTGGCTGTGGGGATAGTGGTGGCTGTGGGGATAGTGGTGGCTGTGGGGATAGTGGTGGCTGTGGGGATAGTGGTGGCTGTGGGGATAGTGGTGGCTGTGGGGATAGTGGTGGCTGTGGGGATAGTGGTGGCTGTGGGGATAGTGGTGGCTGTGGGGATAGTGGTGGCTGTGGGGATAGTGGTGGCTGTGGGGATAGTGGTGGCTGTGGGGATAGTGGTGGCTGTGGGGATAGTGGTGGCTGTGGGGATAGTGGTGGCTGTGGGGATAGTGGTGGCTGTGGGGATAGTGGTGGCTGTGGGGATAGTGGTGGCTGTGGGGATAGTGGTGGCTGTGGGGATAGTGGTGGCTGTGGGGATAGTGGTGGCTGTGGGGATAGTGGTGGCTGTGGGGATAGTGGTGGCTGTGGGGGGATGTGGTGGCTGTGGGGATAGTGGTGGCTGTGGGGATAGTGGTGGCTGTGGGGATAGTGGTGGCTGTGGGGATAGTGGTGGCTGTGGGGATAGTGGTGGCTGTGGGGATAGTGGTGGCTGTGGGATAGTGTGGCTGTGGGGATAGTGGTGGCTGTGGGGATAGTGGTGGCTGTGGGGATAGTGGTGGCTGTGGGGATAGTGGTGGCTGTGGGGATAGTGGTGGCTGTGGGGATAGTGGTGGCTGTGGGGATAGTGGTGGCTGTGGGGATAGTGGTGGCTGTGGGGATAGTGGTGGCTGTGGGGATAGTGGTGGCTGTGGGGATAGTGGTGGCTGTGGGGATAGTGGTGGCTGTGGGGATAGTGGTGGCTGTGGGGATAGTGGTGGCTGTGGGGATAGTGGTGGCTGTGGGGATAGTGGTGGCTGTGGGGATAGTGGTGGCTGTGGGGATAGTGGTGGCTGTGGGGATAGTGGTGGCTGTGGGGATAGTGGTGGCTGTGGGGATAGTGGTGGCTGTGGGGATAGTGGTGGCGTTGGGGGGTGGCTGTGGGGATAGTGGTGGCTGTGGGGATAGTGGTGGCTGTGGGGATAGTGGTGGCTGTGGGGATAGTGGTGGCTGTGGGGATAGTGGTGGCTGTGGGGATAGTGGTGGCTGTGGGGATAGTGGTGGCTGTGGGGATAGTGGTGGCTGTGGGGATAGTGGTGGCTGTGGGGATAGTGGTGGCTGTGGGGATAGTGGTGGCTGTGGGGATAGTGGTGGCTGTGGGGATAGTGGTGGCTGTGGGGATAGTGGTGGCTGTGGGGATAGTGGTGGCTGTGGGGATAGTGGTGGCTGTGGGGATAGTGGTGGCTGTGGGGATAGTGGTGGCTGTGGGGATAGTGGTGGCTGTGGGGATAGTGGTGGCTGTGGGGATAGTGGTGGCTGTGGGGATAGTGGTGGCTGTGGGGATAGTGGTGGCTGTGGGGATAGTGGTGGCTGTGGGGATAGTGGTGGCTGTGGGGATAGTGGTGGCTGTGGGGATAGTGGTGGCTGTGGGGATAGTGGTGGCTGTGGGGATAGTGGTGGCTGTGGGGATAGTGGTGGCTGTGGGGATAGTGGTGGCTGTGGGGATAGCGGCCAGGCTGCACACTGTATGTGGGAACTGGTGTCTTCATAGCACCGGTCTGGGGATAGTTTCCCGTGGGGATAGTGGTGCTGTCCCCAAAACTCTTTTATAGTGGCAAGGCTTGGCTTTGGTGTGGGGTAGTGGGGCTTGTATGTCTGTTCATAGTGTTCTGTGGGCCATATTTTCATAGTCTATCTGAAGGGAAGTTGACTCTTATATCTTAATTGTTATACCTGTACACGTGCCAAGTTTTCATATATCTGAAAGAATGGGTTTGTACCCCTCTGGCTGTGTAACACACCCCTCTGCTTTAATCCTCTCTATATACCTCTGTGTACACCTCTCTACCCCACCTGGGGAGCGGAGGTGTGGCCATAGGTGGCTCCAGATATCTGCTTCATACCCTGCGGAGTCTGCCCGTGAGACATTTCATTATGGTGGTGTTAGTTTTATTCATGAATGGTTGTGTTGTTTCCTGGTTTGAGTGCTGCTCGTTCATACATTACATCTGCATTCATCAACATACCCTGTGGGGTGCGCCCTGTGAGTCATTGGACATGTTTGTGCTGTAGAGTAAGGTCTCTGGTTTGACAGCCTCTCTCAGCTGCCCTCCTCATTCATTCATCAACATACCCTGTGGGGTGCGCCTGTGAGTACCGTTTCTTTTTACGTTTGCCCTGTAAGTAAAAGTCTGTATCCGTCTTTCCCTTCATCCTTCTCTTGGTCTATCTTTCTTTTGTTTTCTGTCGTTCCCTTCACTATTGTCACAAATGCAGGTTATTAATGAGTGTTCAGATGGAGGAATAATCTCCCCTCAAACGTGTGTCTACTTTCAACAGTACCTCAACTTCTAGCTCCATGTCAGAATTTGCCCCATCATCATCTGCCACATCATCTGCCGCATTAGCACCTGCCATGTTACCATCTGACATGTTACTTCAATGGGTGTATACAGGTTCAGATTCTTGTTTACTGTGTCAAGCCGATATGTACAGTAGGCATACTACCATGCTTTGTCCACACTTGTTCAGACTTCTGCATGCTTTAGTAAAATAGTGCTTGCAGCAAGGAGCGTGGGTGAATGATGTTTGACACGTTGGCTAAAAAGTCACCACTAATTTCATTCATCAGTAGAACAGAGGGTAGAAGGAGCATGCAGCATAGCATTGGTCTGAATTTTTGACAAGGGTTTTTTTAGCCCACTTCCAAGCAAAAGCAAACGCCGATGCCGGGGATCGAACCCGGATCTTCCGCGTGACAGGCGGAGATACTGACCATTATACTACATCGACATGTCACAGTCTTCTCAGTCACTATAAAAAACCTTTTTTTTTGTTTGCGTTCTGGATTTCTTCCTAATCGATTGCCAGGTTAGTTCACTCTCGCAAGCATCGCATGCACGTGCTCGTGTATCCTCTTCTCGGCTCTGTAAGGTGCCAACGACCTCGGTGAAGCACCATTCTGTACAGCGATAACCCGAGTTCACCATAGCATCGATATAGGCAGCCTTCGTTATAGGCACATATGGCTACATACGGCACGCGAGCGGGGCTAGGAGGCTCCGGGATTTCCGGGGGAGGGGGAGCGTCTGAAATCCCTCTATGGCAGGGCGACGCGGAGAGGGAACAGTACGAGAGTTTCGCGGATTTATACGCGATTATAAAGACTACCGAAAAGCTCGAAAAGGCGTACGTCCGCGATTTGATCTCCCCTGCGGATTACGAGCCCGCTTGCGCGAAGCTGATTGGCCAATTCCGGACGCTTCGCACCGCGCTACAGAGTGCTGTACCCGATATAGAGCGATTCATGACAACGTACAAGATGGATTGCCTTGCAGCGAAGAATAGGCTTCTGGTAGCGGGGGTTCCGGCCACGGTGGAGCATAAATCAGCTACGGTGGAGAGCGGTAGTGCGACTGTAGCGGTGGCTGAGACGGTGCAACACTTTATAACAGCCATGGATACTGTCAAGCTCAATATGCTCGCTGTAGATCAGGTAAGCAGCTGCAAATCCTGACGGTTGGGAGTTCTGATGGCTCTTCTGTGTTACTGTAAATCGGCTATGGATGCTGTCCAGCTCAATATGCTCGCTGTAGATCAGGTGAACATTGAACACTCCCCTTTTGGCCTTAACCCAGGTGCACCTACTGTTCTCCCTGCTCCTCATTTACATCCGCAACGTGACCTCCCTACTGGCGAGTTTGATTTGCAAGTCTTATCCCCCTCATTCCCTCTCTCTGTTTTGAGTCGACTCAAAACAAGGCTCCTCAATTCCCTCTGCAACGTGACCTCCCTACTGGCGAGTTTGATTTGCATGTCGCACCCCTCTCATTCCCTCTCCCGCTGTCCTTCCTGCCAGCTGAGTTGACCTTTCCCACATCCCATTTCCCTTCCATAGTTCTCCCCTTCCCCATCCCCTTCCCCATCCCCTTCCACTCACTCCAACCCCAGGTGCACCCGCTCTCTCCCTGCTCCTTAACTCTCTCTGCAGCGTGCCCTCTCTTCTTTTCAATTCTTGTGATGGAGCTTTCCGCTCCTTTCTTGCTTTCCCCTTCCCCTCCCCCCCTCCCCCAGGTGCATCCGCTGCTCTCCCTCCTGCTCCTTAACTCCCTCCGCAGCGTGCCCTCTCTTCTTTTCAAAGAGATTTCCACTCCCTTGCTCCTGTCCTCGCCCCTCCTCCCCTCCCCTCCCACATGTGCATCCGCTCCTCTCCCTGCTCCTTAATTCCCTCGCTAGCGTGCCCTCTCTTCTCTAGCAGCTGAATTCGAGGGTCGCACCAAGGTCACGGACTGGCTCGTGCGCCTCAACAGCATGGGGGCTAGCAATCTATTTGTTGGGCCTGCTTTCACCATTCCCCCCTTGCCCTCTTCCGCTGATTCCACCTTCCCTCTTCTCCCCTTTCCAGCGCCTCCGTTTCCCCTGTCCCACCCCCAGGTGCATCCGCTTCTCTCCCGGCTGCTCAACTCCCTCTGCAGTGTGCCCTCGTTACCAGCCGAGTTTGAGGGTCGCACCAAGGTCCGGGACTGGCTCGTGCGCCTCAATGGAATGGCTGCTAGCATTTCATTCGCCCTCTCCCTTTTTCACCTCGCCCCTCCCCCTCCCCCAGGTGCATCCGCTGCTCTCTCTTCTCCTCAACTCCCTCTGCAGCGTGCCGTCGTTACCAGCTGAATTTGAGGGTCGCACCAAGGTCCGGGACTGGCTCGTGCGCTTCAATGGCATGGTGCTAGCCACTCATTTGCTGTCTCCCCCTTACCCCTCCCTACCCCCACCCCCCCACCCCCCCCCCCACTTCAGGTGCATCCACTGCTCTCCCTGCTGCTCAACTCCCTCTGCAGCGTGCCCTCCTTACCAGCCGAATTCGAGGGTCGCACAAAGGTCCGGGACTGGCTCGTGCGACTCAATGGAATGGCGGCTAGTGATGAGCTTTCTGAGGAACAAGCCAGACAGCTGAGCTTTGACCTTGAGTCGTCTTACTCTGTGTTCATGCAATCACTGGGAATAAAAAACTGATTTCTTGTGCGATTCATACATGTAGGTACCTACACACACCCACATGTATGGCTGCTGCTAGTGTTGAGTTGTTGGAAAAGCAGAGGAGACAACTGGATCATTAAATCACTTGGAATAAAGAACTGATCTTCCCACGGGCATGGAGCTTTTATGAGCCTGTGCAGTAAAAACGGTAGTTGTAGCGTAAAAGGCTCCAGAATTACCTTGGAGCTGTAGAGCTGTTGTGTTGTGCTGGGGTGCGCTGTATGGGTCATGCGCCTCAAACAGCATGGCTTGAGGACGCGTCCCCTCCCTCGATCGATCGCGAGATCGCTGCGGAAAACCGATCGGGCAAAACCGATCGCAGGATTGGGGCGGGATTGGTAGGAGGTGCAGTCGCGGATCGATCGCGAGCCCTTGGTGACAGGATCGAAAAATTTAGGGGGGAAACTGTCGATCCTACAAAAGCCGAGATCGGTGTGGCCAGGAAGACACATCGATCGTCATCAGGGGAGGTGACAAGATCGTTGAGCGCCAAAATATTGTACATTCGCAAGCCTTCTCGAAATCTGGTTACACTGTCAATTGCGACACTGTTCTTGTCCTTCGATCGATCGAGGGCAGGATCGTTCGAGGGAGGGGACGCGTCCTGAGCTTTGCGCAAGGGCGTGTTTCGAAAACCCCTCTGACTGCGGTTCAATGCGGTTTGTAAAGAATATAATGCGCACTTGGGCTGGTTGGGTAAGGTTTTCGGCGAAATTGAACCTTGATTGAAAAACATTGGGAGGGAAATCCCTTTTGGGAATACACTTAGGCATATTCAGCGAAAGCCGGAGGCCAGCCTGAATATTCTGTCACCTCAGGACGCGTCACCTGAAGCGGATTGATCGGCTGTAGGGTCGGTTTTGTCGCATGGGGTGTGCCACTGTAGCTTCGTAATCAGCCTAGTAACCCTATTTCGACATCATGCGCGAATGTACAGTAAAAATGTTGTTTCAATCCTGTCACCTGGGCAACAGACGATCGATATGGGGAGGGCCCATATCGATTGTGAAAACAGAAGGGTCGGTGTAGTGTCCTGCGCCACGGGTTACAGGCACGATCGAGCGCCTGCACTCCATGTCGCATAGTAACTAAATGATGTGCTGTGCATGCATGCAAAATTGGGTTGACCAGGTGCGACCCCACAGAGAATGTCGCACGCGACCCGACGAAACCTGTCGCAGGCTAGGTGTATACCCCCCCAAAACGTGCATCTCAGAACCTGTAACCTGTGTATCGGTGTGGATACCTACGATTGCATTTTTGCAGGATGCAGCATCGATCGTGTGTGAGCCTGGGATCGAAGTGCAGATTGGTGCGGATTGACCAATCCTGGGCCAATCCGCTTCAGGTGACGCGTCCTCACTCACACGTTCCCAGATTTACACACGTTCTCAGCCCCGTATCAGCCATGGCGGCTCTAATGGTGACGGCGCCAGTGTTTGTTTGAGTCGCTTCGAAGCGCGAAAGAAAAACGATTTTCGCTCTATGCACTGACGGATCCGAACCGTCCATAGCAAACCGACCGAGGCCGGGGCGGACCGAACCGAACCAAAGGACACCGAACCAGGCTAGCAGGCATGGCGAGCGGCGTGGGTCCGATGATGACGGCGCCGGTATCGCCGGAAGAGGTGCTTCAAAAGATGATGCACGACGGCGTGTTTGATTCGCTAAAGAACCGGATCCTTCTCGACCTCAAGCATAATGTACGCGTTATTGTCGTTTTCGATGTTTCGTAAGGAGGATTCTAGGGTGAGGATGATACACGACGGCGTGCTCGACTTGCTTAAGAACCGAATCCTGCTCTATCTCAAAGCAGCGTACGCAGTATTTACAGATTCGATATTCAGTAAAAAGTCTACACCACAAAGTTGGCACCGGGCCGCGAAACCCCATTGGGCCCCACGATACATGCACACCCGCAGCCCCCTTTCCGTTCCCCTTTCTGTGTAATTGTGACTGTAACAGGAGGTACGACAGGAGAAGTTGGTTGTGCGAAGCAGCGAAACTCTATTTGCGCACGAAGTTCGCATTCCCGCCTACTTCCCCCCCACCCCTTTCGCATCCCCCCGGTTCGTCCCCCCCACCCCTTCGCAGTCCCGCCTACTTCCCCCCCCCCGTTTCGCATCCCCCCACTTCCTTGTGACTGTAACAGGAGGGAACTGCGGCTCTACGCCCTATCTCTTCATGACGCCCCTCCCACCTTCTTACTCTTCCCCTCCTCTCCCACTCCTCCCCCCACCCCGTTTTCCTTTCCTCCCATTCGAACAGGAGGAGCTGCGGCAGTACACGGCTAAGCTGGTGCAGGCCAGCAAAACCCTCTCTGCTCACGACGCTCCCTGAACCTTCCACCCCCCTTGTCCCCCCACTTTCCCCACTTCTCTCCCTTTTCTTCCCTCCTGTATCAACAGGAGGAACTCCGGCAGTACACGGCTAAGCTGGTGCAGGCCAGCGAAACCCTTTCTGCTCGCGACCTCCCCCCACTCACTTTCTGAAGGGCATCCCGCTCCTCCTCCGATTTCACCCTTCCTATTTCAACAGGAGGAGCTGTGGCAGTACACGGCTAAGCTGGTGCCCTCTCTGCTCACGATGTCCCCTCACCTTTCTGTGTGACTGTGACTGTGAGTGACTCAAACAGGAGGAGCTGCGGCAGTACACGGCTAAGCTGGTGCAGGGCAGCGAAACCCTTTCTGCTCACGATGCTCGCACGCGGAACCGGCGGGAGCTTTTTGAAGCACTGCGCAAGGAGTTGGAGTGAGTGGGAAGGGGTTCAAGTCGGTTTGGAGGGGTCTGAATGGGTTCAAGTGGGGTTGAAGGTGTTCGAGCGAGTGAGAACGTTCAAGTGTGTGTTTGAATTGGGGCTGGAGTGAGTGTGATGCGAAGGGGTTGGAATGAGTGTCAGTATAAGCATTTGAGTCAGTTTGAAGTGAGGGCTCGGGTGAGTGAGAACTTTTGTATGTGTGTTAGTTTCGAAGCCTAGGCAAGTGATAGAGACAGGACATTAAGCAGAGGCTGGAGTTGGTGCGATTTGAAAGAGCAGCACCTCACGAGTCACATCAAGCTGCAAGTGTGGCACCTAAACATTCACATCCAACTCAAAGCTTATAAGGACACATGGACCCAGGCTGAAAGTAGCAGCGTCGGGGACTGGACGAGTGGACAGTGCAGGGGGTAACACGATGGATAGATAGCAAACACCTTTACCCTCGCTGCAAGTGATTTTTGAGAATTCTCAAAAAACACTCCCGTGGATAGATAGCGAACGCCTTTGCCCTCGCTGCACGCACTCTTATTCCTTGCAGTCTCGGTCTATGGACCTCCGTGTTCCCGCGTGTGGGGTGACTTTTGAGTCGACTCAAAACGAGGTGACTTTTGAGTCGACTCAAAAGTCCCCTCGCTGCACTTACTCTTATTCCTTGCAGTCTCGGTCTATGGACCCTCATGTTCCTCACGTGTGGGAAGGAAATTCACTCGTGTGCTGAGGAGACCTGTGCCTTCTTTTTCCCCACATCCATCCAGGGTACCAGTGGTTGAAAAGGCGTCTGACTTTGCATGGACCCTCATGCTCTCTCCTCTCTCAGGAGGTGTTGGGGAGGAAATTCACTCCCGAGTGGAGGAAACTCACCTATATCCCCCTCGCCCCCCTCCCCCTTTTCCCTTTCCCTTTTCCCGTTTCCCCCACGTGCAGGGCGCCAGTGGTTGAGAAGGCATCTGGCTTCGCGTGGGCCCTCATGCTCTCGCCTCTCTCAGGGGGGGTGGGGGAAGAAATCCACTCGTGGGTCGAAGAAATTCACTTATATCCCCCTCGCCCCCCTTCCCCTCGCCCCCCTCCCCCTTTTCCCCGTTTCCCCCACGTGCAGGGCGCCAGTGGTTGAAAAGGCGTCTGGCTTTGCATGGACTCTCATGCTCTCGCCTCTCTCAGGGGGGAGTGGAGGAGGAAATCCACTCCCGAGTGGAGGAAACTCACCTCTATCCCCCTCGCCCCTGCCCCCCCCAACCTCCTCCTTTCCCCCTTTCCCCTTCCACTTTTCCCGTTCCCCCTTTCCCGTTTCCCCCTCGTGCAGGGCGCCAGTGGTTGAGAAGGCGTCTGGCTTCACGTGGGCCCTCATGCTCTCGCCTCTCTCAGGAGGTGTGGGGGAGGAAATCCACTCGCGGGTCGAAGAGACCTTCACTCGCCTGCACGCTGAGAAGGCGGCCAGTGACGCGCTGACACGTGGCAGCGGCAGCGGTGGTGCTGGCGGGAGCTTTGAGGAAGTGGTGATGGCAGCAGGGGAAGCAACGGGAGAGGCAATGGCAGCAGTGGCACGGGTTGCAGCAGCGGCGGGTTTTGGGCCGAGGAAAGGCGGGGGTGTTGCTGCTGCTGCTGGGGGAGGGGGTGGGCAAGGAGGAGGGGAAGAGGGTGGGGAAGGAAGTAAAGTTGCTGCTGCGAGTGGTGGAGAGGGGCAGGATGGGGAAAACGGGGTGGATGGAGTGGGAGAGGGCGGTGGAGTGAGAGGGTGGGCTGAGGAATCGCAGAAGTCAGAGGGTAAGACAGAGGTAAAGGCTGAGGTTCAGGCAGACGTGAAGGCGGAGGGGCCTTATGGTGGGCCTGTGCTGCCTGGAATCAGGTGTATGACGGATATCACTGGGGAGGAGGATGATGCTGCTGCTGCTGGTGCTGCTGGTGCTGCTGGTGACGCTGGCGCTGGTGCTGCTGGCGATAACGCCGCTGCTCCTGCCTCTGCTGATATTGCTGCTGCTGCTGTGGTTGATGGTGGTCGTGGTGGTGATAAAGCTGACGACGCCAGTCGAAATCGGAGGGACGACACGGGTTCCGAGATTCGGATGAGGAGAAACAAGTGGAATGAGGGGGGAGGAGGTCCAGAAGCCCGAGGGACAGACAGCAGTAGGGAGGGTTACAGGAGGGATTTAGATGGAAGCAGACGATTTAGAGTTGAAGACCCTCCTCCTCCCAGGAGGTCCAAGTTCTCTGCCGAGCATGGTCATAGGTGGGGAGGGGTTGGGAGGGATGGGGGACGCGGTGGGGAGTGGGGAGTGGCAGGGGAGTGGGGAGGAGGAGAGGGGCCGCTGGAGAGGAGGGGTAGTAGAGAGGGACCGGCTGTAGCACCGTCCTCTGCCCCTGCTACATCCGCAGCAGGAGGCTCGGGAGGTGCTGGGCCGGGAGGGTTTGGTCCGAACCTGGCGCCGTTTCATGGTCCGGGAGGGGCGCAAGCAGCAGTGGCAGCAGCAGCAGCAGTTGCAGCAGCTGCGGCGGCAGCAGCAGGAGCAGCAGGAGGGACAGGGGGAGCAGGAGGGGGGTATGGTCCTGCTGCTGCTGCTGCCGCGGCTGCCGCAGCTGCAGCAGCAGCAGAGGCTTATGGGTATTCGGGAGGGATGGGAGCAGGTGGAGGAGGGTTTTCAGGGGGAGGCTATATGGGTCGGGGCATGTCAATGCAGCACCTGCATTTTGGTATGGGCCGAACCCCGCCCTCTTGGTTCGGGTCAGGTTCGGCAGCGTGGGCGGCACAGTTCCAGGCCTTGCAGATGGGTCGGGGAGCCGGGAGCATGGGGGGGTTTGGTTCGGGCGGGATGGGAGGTTTGGCAGGAGGGCAGCTAGGCTCGGGAGGCTATGGTTCGGCAGGATATAGCTCGGCAGGCGAATGGGGTGCTCCAGGTGGGGGTAACCCTCATAGCCACGTGTCATCAGCTCATCCTAGTCATGCATCTGCCCAGATGACGTCACCTCGTGCTGTTGCTGACTCAGCAGCGGGAGGAGAATCCAGGTACACGTCAGCACGACGTGGCGACAGGAGGACGAGCGGGTTGCAGGCTGTTTTGGGCGGAGGGGCCAGCGGTGGCGGGCGGGAGGGTGAGGATAGAGGGAAGGGCAGGAAGGATGGGTCTCAAGCTGCTGGCCCTGCTTCTGCTTCTCCTGATGCTGGTGCTGCTGGTGGTGCTACTGACGCTCTTGGTGCTGTTGCTGGCGCTGCTGCAGTGTGTGCATCACCAAGCGGGGGGGAGCAAGGGGACCTTCGCAAGTCCACCAGCCGGGACAGTGTGGGCAAGCCAGCAACAGCAGCAGCAGGAGCAACAGCAGCAGCAGCAGCAGCAGGAGGCACAGCAGCAGAGCCATGGGACGCGCATTTGAAGGGTGCCAATGCACCCCGATTCCACCCCGGCACGTCACACCGCGTGCCAGGGAGCTCATCTTTCCACCCTCCCCATGCCCACGCCCATCCGCACACCCATACACTTCCCCATGGGCATGGGCATGGCAGTGCTGGTTCAGGTGCTCGAGCTCGGGGGCTTAGTGCTGCTGGTCCGTCTAATGCTCCTGCCAGTCGTGCTGCTTCTGCTGCTGCTGGTGGTGCTACTGCCGGTGGTGGTGGTGCCAGTGATGCAGGGGGGTCCAAGTCCCCGTTGGCTCACAGGCCGTCCATACCAACGCCATCACGCCTGCCCAAGCCAAGGGAGGCTGGGAGAGAGCAGGATAAGGGGCGGGAGCAGGGCGAGGGACAGCTGAAGAGGAGAGGATCCGTTGGCAGTGCCATTGGCCCTGGTAGTGGTAGTGGGGTTGGTGGCGCTGCTGCTGCTGGTGCTGGTACTGGGATTGGTGCGATTGAGCAAGGAGAGCGGGGCGAGCGCAAGAGGAGAACGGGGTGAGGGTGGTGCTGCAAGGAGGAAGGAGGTGGTGCACAAGGCGCCCGTGAAAGGGCAGCTGGTGAAGGCACAGGGGAAGGAACAACATCAGGTGAAAGCACGGGGGAAAGAGCAGCAGCAGAAAGTGCAGGGGAAAGAGCAAAAAGAAGCAGGCAATTCGCAGCAACAGCTGGCAAAGACCAAAGAAGAGCCAAAGAAATTGCTGCAGCAACAAGTGAAGGGAGAGCAGAGGGTTGAAGGGAAGGGGGTGGAGAAGGAGGTGAAGGTTCAGTCAGTGGCAGCAGCAGCAGGGAAGGATGAGGCACCACCACAGCAAGCATTGCAGCTGCTCATAGGGAAACGACCCAGCAAGTAATGGGTGAGCTGGGGGTGCTTGTGATTGCACTTTCGGGGATGTGGATGTTGGTGATTACTACCGTATCTGTGTTCTGGTGGTGTGTAGTGTGGATATACAGTACCCCACTTTCTTCTCTTGGCATTTGCCTTCGTTCTTGTGCACATTCTGAAGGGTTTGAATATCTACCTATGAGCAACCTGTATTTGCAGTCTTCAGTCTTGGATTGAATGGCCACATGACGCATGAACGTTCAGCCAGCTCGCATATACCAGTAGGTAGGAATGTGTATTATTATCTAACCTGCCATACTCACTAGGAACATGTCAATACTAGGGTAATATCAGTCTGCAAAATAACAATCTGAATCCTTGCTCGTACCATAGCAAGAGTCGACAGTGCTCACAATGGCTTCAGAGGCTTTTGGAAACAGGCACGCTGGTAGCAAGCATACGGTAGTCCACGTGGTCTCCATAACATTTTTGCCCATACGGACTCAAAAACGGGCCCAGCAGTAGTCACATTCCGACTCGCAGTCCCCTTTACAGTCAAGCGTGTATCCAAGCACCAGAGGGTTCCTCAGGACAACTCCTCTCAAGGAATCGCCGCTGATCCGCCATTCCCGGTCCAGTTTAGCGACATTTGGCGTCAGCCGCTTCTCCACGCTGCACGCCAAGACATGGGGGAATTCTGCGAAGTATTTCTTGAAATCCGCGTCTTGAAATCTGGCCGTTTCTCGGAGAAAGGAAACAACGGATGAGATTTGATCCGGCGACGGAACGACATTGACGATCTCATCTCGCCAGTACGATCTGGCCGTCCATCCGAAAGCTTTTGCGAGCACGGTTTCAGCGGCATCGGTTTCGAGACCAAGGGTTTCAAGCAGTCTTCTGCATTCTAGCCATTGCTCCAGCTGATCGCCGGAAAGCTCTTTCGACGGCGACGCAACGTTTGCTGGCTTAGTGCTGGCTCTGCAAACGAGCCTGGCTGCTCTATGATACGAAGTGGCTGTCAGAGATTGAGAAAGCGCGCCATTATGAGCAACTGACGACCGGGTTTGTGTGGGAGAATGAGTGATGCTTTGCCGGATCATGCACGCGACGCCGGAAACTGCAATGTGTAGAGTGGCCATTACAGCTTCAGTCTATGAGACGGAATCTTTACGAAACAGAATCAGCTGCGAAAACGAAGCGGGGAGGCTGCGTGACGCACTTCACCGTGTGTATGAGGAAAGCCAGAAGAAAAGTGTTCGAGGCTGAATCCTGCCTGATTCAGCGCCTTGAACTCTTGAGTTTTTCAAACTTCAGAATCCAGGCCACTTCCATGTTTACAACTGGGCCTGTTCTGAATTCTGTTTCCTGGTTCCTCCATTTGAGCAGCAAATGCATCCCCTTCGCTGAGGAGAAACCTGGCTGGGCTTTCCGTGTGGTTGGACGGGAACGTCCATGACGTGGCAGAACCAGAGCCGCTAGAAACTGGTACACGAAACAGCTGCTTGCTACGGGGTACTCCATAATCTCTATATTATGTGCTTCGATTAGAAAACCATGTATTTGACTCTGCTTGACTGTGTAAAGTGTGAACAAGCAGCTTTCCAAAATCCAAACCAAATGACCCAACACAACAACCTCGGAAGCGCCGCTGGGAACGAGGCAAAAATGCAGGCAAGTACCGAACCTGGGCTTGACGCGCCGCGCGACGACAAGATGGAGGCGGTTGTGAAACGAATCCGGCCAGGGCAGGGCAGGGGGGAGTGGGGGCAAGCACCCCTAGTGGTTGAGGGGAATGAGAGCGGCTTGCCCTCACCAATTGTTTCCGCGCAGCCTCCCCGCTCTGTTTGCGCTGCGGAGCGTGCCGCCTTCCCTATCGACCCCCCCTCGAGACTTTCCATCCTGTTGGGGCCACAACCGCAACAAAATCGCCTCCCCTTCGAGATCATCGTGAGCGTCCGAAAATCACAAAACAGTGATCCGCGAAAATCTGACGGCTCAGATGTGGAATGTTACAACCTCGCCGGGTAGTTGTCCGTCGGACCCCTGGGCTTTCCCTGAGCCAACATGATCATGTTTTGGGCATGGCGTGTGTTATCTCACCACCGCCATACTCATGCGTTTCTTGAATCACGCTCCCATCCTAAACAGCACGGTCACACGAAGAGCTTTCTCGGATTCAACAAGTACAGCAACCTCGAATAATTTGCCGTTTCGCCATGGAGCATCATGACATTTGATATTCTCGTGGCGTGCAGGCATCGGTAGTCCGTTCTGTCAAATCCCAGAAGCTATAGACATCTAACGGGTTTGACAGGCGGCATCAGTGTTTGAGCAGTCGGCACTTGTCAGGGCCTGAGTGAGTGAGTAAGCATCTGAGTCCGTCCAAAAGCCACGCAGCTGATTAGTCCTACGCGATTGAATGGATTTGCGGATTCCAGCAGTCTAGCCAAGTATTTCTCACCAAATTTCAACGGCTTGTCGATATATCTCGATTCGGATCCTGCGCCTTTGCAGAATCTTCTGAAATTCCTCGTTTCCGGGATAAGGGAGCCTCTTAATAGGTGCTATGCTTACGAAGTCCTAGTGTGGGAAGACGTAGAGTAGCTATCGTCCATCCGACAGCTGTAGCTCCATCCAACTTCTTCAGTTCCATCGAATGGCGGTTGGCGCAGCCGAAGAGCCGAATCTAGAAGCAGGGACGTGTAATTAGTACCCACGACTGTAGAAATATTCGAGTCTGCTCTTCGATTAGCATTTCGTATTCCCGCCCGCCATCATGCCGTCGTCATCTCGCATCAGAATCAATGTAGGCGGGCAAATCTTCGAAACGTCCCGCGAAACGCTCGAGCTAGCGGGTCGCGGCTCGCTTCTAGGAGCCATGCTGGACCCAGTCTGGGCGTCTCGCGACGCTCGCCGTTCGCACTTTCGCGAATCTGAGTCGCAATCCCATCATGACACGTGTCGCACATCGGGTTCTCGTTACAGACGGAAAGCGGAAGAAGAGGAGGATACACCAGAGATTTTTATCGACCGGGATCCGAAAACGTTTGCCGTGTTGCTGAACTTCTTGCGGTCCGGTGTACTTAATATTCCCTCTGGCGTTACCGTTGATGCGGTACTTAGCGACGCGGACTATCTCGGCCTGCTGGACGCGGTTAAGGGAGCGCTCCTGCCGCCGACTTTGGACGCCAATGAGATGCACAGAGTGAGTGGTTTGGAATCGCCTCGGAACACAGGAGGTACGTTAGCTGCTGGAATTGTACCCTTGGCGGTTAAGGGAGCGCTCCTGCCGCCGGCTCTGGACTATAATGAGATGCACAAGGTGAGAGAACTGGAACCGCCTCGGAACACAGGTAATAAGTGTGATCTTGGAATTGTAGGGCGTTTCGGTGAAAGGAGCGCTCCTGCCGCTTGCTCTGGTCGTCAATGAGATGCACAAGGTGTGTAGGACCTTGTTTTCCATCGATCTCCTGTCCCCCACATATCTTGGAGGGGCTTGACGAACGACCTTCTAAGCACCTTAAACTCAACCTCTTTCCCCCTTTCCCCCCTTAATCCCCGTCCTGGTCAGACGTCCGTTCTTCGCCCCAACGTGGGCCCTGCTGACGTGTGCACGGCCCTGGCCGCGCATGAAGACGGCTCTGTTGACGTGGCACATGGCGCCCGGGTGACGTGTTATGACTGGATGCTGCGTCACACCGCCACCATCATCACCGATCTTCCCCAGGTGTGAAAGACGGGCTGTGGTTGGGGCGTGGGAGGGGTGTGGTAGGGATGTGGGAGGGGTGAGGGGGGAGGGGTGTGGGAGGGAGGGGTGTGAAGGGTTGTTATAGAGCTGATATACGCCCCGTGTGCTGAGCACTAGAACGAGTGTTATTATTACACACACAGTGTGACAACTCATGCTCTCCCTCCTCCTCTCCAATCCCGTGCTGCCAGGTGGACACCATATGTCGGCTGTCAGAGTCTCGGATCATCGTGGGGGGCGGCAAGGGCTGCTACCATCTGCCCATCTACGACACACGGGGTTACGACAACACATCAAACACACTGCGCACATTTGACGAAGATCATTTCACATTGGCCTTTCCTTTCTCCTATGGCTCTTCCAATGCTGCCTACCCCTCGCATTCCCCTTACTCCTCCCCCTACTGCTCGTCCCTCTCAAACTCTCAAACCACATACGGTTCTCCTGCCACCCTCCCATCCCTCTCCCCCTCCTCCCTCTCATCCTACACTCCCTCCCCCTTAACCCTGAACCAACCCGCCCCTTCCTCCTCCATCTCCCCAATCATCCTCCCCCAATCCGCCTCCCACTACCCAACCCCCACAGCCAACCCCCTCTACTCCCCCCCTCTCCATCCATCCCTCCTCCCCTCATCCTCCCCGTTCCCCTCCCCCTACTCTCCATTCCCGCCAACCTGCAAAATCGGCTCAGTGGTTCTAAGAGGCGCCTCCCATCCATCTTTCCGCTCCATAGTCCAATCCGACCGCTTTCTATTCGTGGCGAGCCTGAGAAAGACCCTCGGGGTGGAGTGGGGGGTGGGGAAGGCGGTGGGGGTGGTGGATCGGGGCACACTGCAGAGCGTGGGGGAGGCCGGGCCGGCGCCCATCACCACCAGGCGCATGGGCGGCCCTGATAAGCTCCAGTGGCTGTCTTCCCGGAACCTTCTCATGGTCGCGCGCCGATACACCCGTGAGTCGATCTCTTCTGACATGTGGCGTACTCTGATTGACTGTTAGGTCAAGTAGAAAAACACGAAACCACGAGAAACCACGAGGATCGGAATGGGAACTGGAATGAAAGGAAGGATAAACAGTTGAGGTTTGTCGAATAAACGCCAGCCACACACCAACTGGTTACAGCACGGGTACCATATGCGCAGGCAGAATGGAGCCTCATTGTCCAACAGTAGTGGAGTTAGGGTCCATCTTATCCGCGCCTGTGGAACCCACGTTGCAACCAGCTGGTGGAAAACTGGCGTGAATTCGACAACCCCTAGCTCTCCCTCGTCCCCTTCAACCGTTGTTGTGTTCTCTTCGGCGTCACTGCTTGCAAATTCCTTCCATACCAATCCCCTATCCTAGTGCTTCCTCATTATAATAACATCCGGGGTTCAGGATGGCAATGAGGAACTGTTATACTTGCATCTGTGAAAACCGCGTTGCAACTAGCCGGTTTGGGACTGGCCTGAGTTCAACAACCTTGCTCAAATCCCTCCTCTCGTTCTTTCCCATGCCTTCTCACTCTTTTCTCCCCTCCTCTGTAAACAGCTAGCGTTCAGGGAGGCTCCGAAGGTCCATCCTACTTGCGCCTGTGGGACCCGCGCTGCAACCAGCTGGTGTGGGACTGGCGTGAGTTTGACGATCCACAGCCCTCCCTCGTCCCCTCCGACCGCTGGTGTGCCCTCTGCGATGCTACAGCTTGTGAAGACCTGTCTTTGCTCCTCAAAGCCTCCCCTTCTGCCCCGGACTCCTCCTCCCGCCTCTCCGCTTTCGATCTGAGGAAACTACCGCTGCCAGGGACTGGGAATAAGCCTACTGCTTGTGTTTCTGTTCCTAGTGGTGCTGGTGGTGCGGTTCAGATGGGTTCTGGCGGGTTAGGGCTTGCAGGTGATGATGGTGCTGGTGGTTTTTATGTTGGCGGGGGTGGCACCGGAAGCAGTGTTGGCACTGCAGCAGCAGCAGCAGCAGGAGGTTTAGGGTTATCAAGTACAGGCGCAGCAACAGATAGCTCAACAAGTAGTAGCAATAGAGGCTTCGGAAACATCTACCGCCCAGCAGCAGTATCCGGGCCTGTGCCAGTAGCAGGAGGACCCACTCCCTCCATAGGGCAAGACAGCTGGACCGTCATGCAATGGCAATCCCCTGACTCGCTCCGGATCGGAGGAACGAGCCTGCAACGAGACTCGGGCAGGGTGGAAACGAGCACGATTCGCCTGCTCGTCGTCCCGGGCAGGTCGCAGATTGTTTGCAACCGCTGCCCGTCGCTGGAGGTGTGGACTCCGGTCAGCAACCCGTTTGTGCCGGTTGCCACAGGCAGGCTGTCTAGATGGGCTTCTTTAGACGAGGAGAAGTTGGGGAGTTTCCTCTCAGTGGGCGGGGGACTGGGAGGGATAGGGGAAACAGGAGGGATTGGGAGAGTTGGAGTAGGGGGAGGTGGGGGAGGAGGGAGAGGGGATGATGGGTTGGGTGGGTACCCAAGAGGGGCTTTGACTCCTGGTTCTCTTTCCGCTGCGGCTGCGGCTGCAAGGGGGTTTGAACCACCACCTGTAGATGGTACAGGAGCGCGGTATACAGGGGATGAAGTGGCTGCTGGTGTGAGGCCAGTGGGATGGGGAGCCGGCGAGGGTACATCAGCGGCACCAGGTGCTGCTGCTGCTGCTGCTGCTGGAGGTGCCACTGGTGTTGATGCTTTGTCTTCTGCTGCTGCTGGCACTGCATCTAATCCTACTGGCGGCAGTAGCAGCAGCAACAGTGCTGCTGCTGCTGCCGCTCCTCCTCCCACACGGTTCGACCCATACTCTTTCCGAAGGACCTATGGGGACACCATGGGCGAATATCAGAGGCGGAGGGTAAACTTCGAAGCGCCCCCCGATCACTGGGTGTACGATATGGCATTTGGTGGGAACAGGCTTTTTCTTGCTCGGGATGACCAGAGGCCTGGAGGTTTGGGGCTAGGCTCGGTCGAGGTTTGGGAGACCCGAACGAATCACAGGGTCGGTCAGTAAACCGATAATGTTTTTGTTAGAAGCGAGAGGTGAGGGGTGAGGGAGGGAGGGGGGGTGGAAGTGGGTGTGGGGGTGGGGGAAACCAGGAAGGAGGGGACGGGGAACGGTGGGTGGGATGGGGAAGGAAGGGGGAAGATGATGTGTGCATGTGCATGCACTGAAAGCTTGCATACACGTATGGTATTGTATGCTATGAGAACGTGTGCGCTTCATCTGTGCTTTGTGTTGAGTCCATTTGGGTTCAGTTGAGGATCAAATTTGGCTTTCCATTTGTTGTTCATCTGGGAGTGTTAGAGGTCCACTGGGGATCCCCGATGATCCTAGGGAAGGGTTACAGGCACGTCGGCCTGGGGGGTTATGGGCGCACTCACCCGCTATATAAACAAGCCCTTTTATCCCAGTGGTTAGTGACTGGGATTCTGACAGGGAGGGGGGGAACGTTTGAGGCTCTGGAATTAGCACTCTGGCTTTGTAAACTACGGTACGTGGTGTTTCAGCACACCATATAAAAAGAGGCGTAAAACACTATCTCAGTGCTCTCATTCTCCCACCCATATGTGAAATTGTGTGTTGTATTGTGTTCTATTCTCAATTCCACGATATCATAACCTGATGCTTGAAAGGGATTGTCCTGAGCCTGCATCACGTAACTCTTTTTCTGGTTACTTTTGTCAATGCTTTTTGCAATATATTTGCCATGCTTTTGCTCACACATGCTTCTTCTCACACATTTCCTTGTGATATCTATTCTCTAGCCATTCTTTTGCTCACAAACTGTTACCGTATGTCTTTTATCCGTTAGTGCAAACCTAGCCTAGGTTGTTGGCTAGTTTCACTTGCACTAGTAGCACATCCATCATTCAGAGATATGGCGTAATCGACAATTACCTTTTGGGGGATGTCCTGCGTGGCGAAGCAGGTTTTCAGACGGTGTAAACCGGTTATCGAGCCTCAATAGTCCACACCACACCCTGATGCAACGGAATTTCCCCGCGTTAGTTTTATTTCTTCGCTGTATTGTAATGCGGTGAGGAAAACCTACCCATACACACAAACGTACGTATAAATATGGCGGCGCAACGTCCGGCGGGTGGCCTCCCTTCGCCTCATTCCCGCAACCTCACGGCGGAGCATAATGATCTAGCGGGGAGCATTCCCCTTCCACATCTCCCCCCGCGTCCGCTCGCCGCGCAACATCAAGCAGATCCCCTTCTCTCGAACCCCCCGCGCCCGCCAGTGCATTACCCGCGCCACATGCGCCAAGGGGCCCCCTCCGCGTACCTTCACCCGCACCCCTCCGCCGCGACGCACTCTCCCGCCGCTCCCGCGCACACATCCCCCTCCTCGCACAGCTTTGCGTCCGCGCACCTCCCTCCTGCGCACGCGTACGGCTCCGCGCTCCCCCATCCCCCCACACTCCCCCATTCCTCTGCCCTCCCCAACCCCCCCTCACTCCCCCATTCCTCCGCCATTCCCCACCCCCCGGCGCCTTCCTCCAACCCTGCGGGCCCAGCCGCCCCTCCCCACGCTTCCCCTGCGCCGCAGCCGGCGCAGCGCGTGATGCCACGTGGCCCGTCGCACCACATGCCACGTGGCACGTTGCAGCATATGGCACGTGGCGCAGGGACAGGCGCAGGGAGGCATGGGGGGGCGGAGGAATGGAGAGTAGGAGGGTCAGGCGCAGGAGGGAACTACACTCAGTCGCACAACCAGTCGCACAATCAGTCGCACATGCAGTCGCACATTCAGACTCCATTTTCACACTACTCATCACAGCAGCTGCCGCAATATCAGACTCAACAGCAGCCGCAGTATCATTCTCACTACCCACTTCAGCTTCAGCAGCAGCACCTGCAGCATCAGCAGGAGCAGCCACAGCAGTTGCATCAGCCAGAGCAGTCACTATACACCTTGCAACACCAGTATAAGCTGCAGCAGCAGAACCCATCGGACCTTCCGTTACAGCCGCAGTACCACCAGCAGCAACACCACCACCACCAATCCGAGCAGCAGCTGCAGCAGCAGCAGCAGCAGCAGCAGCAGCAGCAGCAGCAGCAGCAGCAGCAGCAGCAGCAGCAGCAGCAGCAGCAGCAGCAGCAGCAGCAGCAGCAGCAGCAGCAGCAGCAGCAGCAGCAGCAGCAGCAGCAGCAGCAGCAGCAGCAGCAGCAGCAGCAGCAGCAGCAGCAGCAGCAGCAGCAGCAGCAGCAGCAGCAGCAGCAGCAGCAGCAGCAGCAGTCACACCAAAACCAGCAGCAGCTGCGGCAGCAAGAAGCACAGTACGCATTACAGCAGCGGCAGACAAAGAAAGAGCTCAAGAGGAAATTGGACCAGCTCACTTCAGTGGTGGAAGATGTGAGTTTACGGAACTTTGAGTATTGGCTTTTGAGACGTCTCATAAGTCGACAAAGGTCGTTCAGAGATGTCTAAAAATATAAATGCCAAAGTCGTTTTGAGGCGTCTCAAAAGTCGTCTCACTTCTGTGGTGGAAGCTGTGAGTTAATTGTGCTTGAAGGATTGTGGAACCTTTTCAGTTACCCTCCTGAGTTGAGGTGCCTTAACGCACAAGGCAAGGTAGACCAACCGACTTTGGTGGTGGAAGATGTCTTGAGGCGCCTCAAAACTGGACTCCTAAGTTGAGGTGCCTTAAAGCAGAAGGGCTACCTCTTGAAATCCCGTGTGACCTCCCTGTAACTCTCCTTGCGCCAGTTGTAGCGGCAGGCAGCAGCATTGGCTCAGCTTAGGGACGTGGGGAGGAGGAGCAAAAAAGGGGGAGACGCGGAGGGGACGTCTTGAGGCTCCTGCTCTCCATCCCAACTCTGAAAACCCCTTCTTATCTTCTCGCTTCCCTGCCAGTTGGAGCGGCAGGCAGCAGCGTTGGCTCAGCTTTGGGACAGCAGTGGGACGTGGGGAGGAGGAGCAGGAAAGGGGGAGACGCAGAGGAGACGTCTTGAGTCTCTTACTCTCCATCCCAATTCTGAAAACCCCTTCTCATCTTCTTTCTTCCCTGCCAGTTGGAGCGGCAGGCAGCAGCGTTGGCTCAGCTGAGGGACGTGCGGAGGAGGAGCAGCGAGAGGGGGAGGGGGCCATTCACGGATGAGGCTCCTAACATTCCTCTCAATCCCCTCCCTGTAACTCTCCTCGTGCCAGTTGGAGCGGCAGGCAGCAGCGTTGGCTCAGCTGAGGGATGTGCAGAGGAGGAGCAGGGGAGTTGGGAGGGGCTATTGACAGGCTTTTAGCATTCCTCCCAACGACCTCTCTCTTCTCCTCCTCACCCCCACTCCCTTCCACTCCCTTCCTGATTATGTACCAGTTGGAGCGACAGGCAGCAGCGTTGGCTCAGCTTAGGGACGTGCGGAGGAGGAGCAGGGGACAGGGAGGGAAGGAGCATCTGCAAAAGAAGCAGCAGCAGCAGCAGCAAACCCACCAGAGCCACCACCACCAGCAGAAACAGGGTTACCACCAACTGCAGCAGCAGGAACAGGCTCACGAGCAGCATATGGATGCTGTGATAGCAGCAGCGGCAGCGGGGGGAGGAGGGGGGATCGCTGGGGGAGTGGGGCTTGGGGGCTTGGGCATGGGGGGGGTGAAGCGGGCAGTGAGGGAGGAGGGGGGGAGGGTGGCGAGGGTGAGAGCAAAGAGGATGGCTGATATGCTGCAGCGAGCAGGCAGCATTGTGAAGCAGGTGAGCGGTGCAGTGCGGTGCTGTGTGGTTCCCATGTTCCTCCGCCGCTCTTATGCCATCTCATCTCGCTCCCTGGTCCTACCTGTCTTCTACTGAAGCACAGGTTAGCCTCTCTGCCTCCTTTACCGAGGCTCTCTGCTCCTTTACCTTCTCTTCCCCGTACCTGGCAGCTTCTGAAGCACAGGTTCGGGTGGGTGTTTGCCGAGCCTGTGGATGCGGAGAGCTTAGGTCTGCCGGACTACCATGAGATCATCAGCCACCCCTTGGACCTGGGCACCATCCGCTCCTGCCTCTTCCCGTCAGGCCCTCCTTATTGCCCTCTGCCCCCGCCATTCCTCCCCCAGTGACTGCTGCACTTCCGGACTACCATGAGATCATCAGCCACCCCATGGACCTGGGCAGCATCCGCTCCCCCTCCCTCTTCCCATGGATAATGGATGTTCCTGCACTGCATGCCCGCCCCATCTTTCCTCCTCCCCCTCTCTCCCCTGCTGCCCACCTCTGCCCTCTTACCCCCCATGCTTCCACTCCCCTACCAGTTACTGAAGCACAGGTTCGGGTGGGTGTTTGCCGAGCCTGTCGATGCGGAAAGCCTAGGTCTGCCGGACTACCATGAGATCATCAGCCACCCCATGGACCTGGGCACCATCCGCTCCCGCCTCATCCAATCACTCGCTGCCACGCGTGCAGACGGGGCAGGTGAGGGAAAAGTGGGAGAGGACGGAAAAGAAGCAGCAGGAGAAGCAGAAACTGCAGGTGGTAAAGAAACCGGGGCATCTGATTCTGCTGCTGCTGCTACTACCAGTGCTGCTGCAAAGCAGCCCCCTCATTATAATCACGTGACTGAAGTGGCAAGGGACGTTCGTCTGGTGTTTGCGAATGCGATGAAGTACAATGGACCGGGATCAGAGGTGAGAGGGAGTTGAAAGGGGTGGTAACGGGTTGAGAGGGAGTGGGCTTGGGTTGAGAGGATTATGAGGGTGTTGTGAGGAGTGGGAGGGGGTTAAGTGGACTGAGGTGGCAAAGGATGTGCGGCTGGTGTTTGCAATGCGGTGAAGTAGAATGAGGTGGAGTCGAAGGCGAGAGGTGGTTGAGGGGAATGAGAGGGTGCCAAGAGGAGTGAAAGGGGGTTGTGAGGTGTGAGAAAGGGTGAATGGGGGTCCACCCATCCACCCATCTTCCAATCCATCCATCCATCCATCCATCCATCCATCCATCCATCCATCCATCCATCCATCCATCCATCCATCCATCCATCCATCCATCCATCCATCCATCCATCCATCCATCCATCCATCCATCCATCCATCCATCCATCCATCCATCCATCCATCCATCCATCCATCCATCCATCCATCCATCCATCCATCCATCCATCCATCCATCCATCCATCCATCCCCCCATCCCCCCATCCCCCCATCCCCCCATCCCCCCATCCCCCCATCCCCCCATCCCCCCATCCCCCCATCCCCCCATCCCCCCATCTCCCAATCCCCCCATCCACCCATCCTCCCATCCCACCTCCCCAGGTATACCTCATGGCCCAGGCTCTCTCGGACCGGTTTGAGGAGAAGTGGCAAGAAGTGATGCTGCCGCGGGTTCATCCATGCAATTACCCGTCCATTCATCCATCCAACTATCCACCCACCCATACATCCGCGCCCATCCACCCACCTCCCCAGGTATACCTCATGGCCCAGGCTCTCTCGGACCGATTCGAGGAGAAGTGGCAATTCGAAAAGCACCTCCATCCTCCCATCCCCCACCCACCCACCCACCCACCCACCCACCCACCCACCCACCCACCCACCCACCCACCCACCCACCCACCCACCCACCCACCCACCCACCCACCCACCCACCCACCCACCCACCCACCCACCCACCCACCCACCCACCCACCCACCCACCCACCCACCCACCCACCCACCCACCCACCCACCCACCCACCCACCCACCCACCCCCCCATCCACCCATCCACCCACCTCCCCAGGTCTACCTCATGGCCCAGGCTCTCTCGGACCGATTTGAGGAGAAGTGGCAATCCGTGATGGTGCCAAGGGTTCAAGAGGAGGTGAGGGCATGGGGCATGGGGCGCGGGGCATGGGGCGTTGGGCATGGGGGCATGGGGGCATGGGGACATGGGGCATGGGGGCATGGGGGCATGGTTGCATGGGGCTGATAACATGTTGAGTAACGCGTTCCCGCCTGGTCGCTCCCCATCTGGCTCTTGGCAGGGGAAACGGCGACACACAGAGGAGGAGCAGCTACAGGCGTTTGAGAGTCGATTGAAGGGGCTCTTGTTGAGTAACAGCTCCCCACCCCTTTCCACCTATCCACACCCATCCATTGCAGGAGAAGAGAAGGCGTACAGAGGAGGAGCAGCTTCAAGCGTTTGAGAATCGAGTAAGGGCTGTTAGCGTGTTGAGTAACATGTTCCCTCCTGGTCTCCCCTCACCCCACCATCCCCTCCATTGCAGGAGAAACGGCGGCGCACGGAGGAGGAGCAGCTACAGGCGTTTGAGAGTCGGGGATTTCAGGCTATCCCACCTTCTCTTATCGAGAGGTGGGATAGACTGAAAAACTTACTATTTTCTTAAGGAAGGCAGAGGCAGAGGAGGCGGAGAGTGGGTTGGTATTGGGTATGCTTACACACTGAAGCAGCTGTTGAGTCTACCCTGCTTCCATTCTTGGCAGGAGAAGCGAAGGCGCACGGAGGAGGAGCAGCTACAGGCGTTTGAGAGTCGAGTGAAGGCAGAGGCAGAGGAAGCAGCGATGGATGGGCGTGCGAGACAGATAGCTGCTGAGGTGAGGAGAGGTGGGAGGAAGAGAGGGAGCAGGCAAGCCACAAGAGTAGGGGCTAAGTGGGGGGGGTGGACTGATGGCAGAGGCAGAGGAGGCAGCGATGGATGGGCGTGCGAGACAGATAGCTGCAGAGGTGAGGGGAGAGAGAGGGGGTGAGGAAGAGGCAATTAGCAGCTAGTGGTGAAAGTAGTGGCAAGCTGCATGAGTGAAGGCAGAGGCTGAGGAAGCAGAGGAAGCAGCAATGGATGGGCGTGCGAGACAGATAGCTGCTGAGGTGAGTTGAGTCGTAGGCGAGGTGAGTAGTAGGCGAGGTGAAGGCTTAATGGTTAGCTGTGCTGCCAGGGTGAAGGGAAAGGTAGAGGAGGCAGCGTTGGATGGGCGTACGAGACAGATAGCTGTTGAGGTGATTAACAGGCGAGGTGAAGGCTTAACGGTTAGCTGTGATGCCAGGGTGAAGGCAAAGGTAGAGGAGGCAGCAATGGACGGGCGTGAGAGACAGAAAGCACGCCTTACAGTCTGCCCCTCCGAAGCCTCTCTCCTCCCATCCCCTCTGTCCCTCTCCGCTGCTTCAGACGTCTCATGTGGATCAGCAGCTGGTGCAGCTTCGAGACTCCATCGCGCCTCTCTGCCGGTAAGCCAAGCCAATGTGTCTTTCTCTCTGTCCGTGAGACAGGAGGTGAGCCGCTCTCTTGGTTCACAGCTTCAAACGGCGCCACGGTCTCTCGCTGCTTCGGACATCCCATGTGGATCAACAGCTGGTGCAGCTCAGAGACTCCATCGCCCCGCTGTGCCGGTAAGCCAAGGCAAGCCATGGGGGACTCCATCGCCCCACTCTGCCGGTGAGCCGAATTGCCCCTGTTTTTTGGTGAGATAGGGAGGTGAG